CAGAGGCCTGCCAGCCTTCACTCAGCAGTGAACAGTAGGCATGCTGCCTGGCAGCAGAGATAGGCACGGGCTGGAGGTATTGCTGCTGAGCAGCCTGCAGGTTGGTGTGGCTGCTGGTGCTGGCACATCAGTCTGCTGGCACTGATGGGGCCTTTTGCTTTCCTAGTGGGTTTTGTTTCCGTTGTGACTCATGTGGAAAACTTGTGTGGAGATGGGAATCCCTAAAGTCTCCTCTGTGTGCTGGCAGGATGTTTGGAAAGCATTGAAAGCAGCTTTAGCTGGTGCTTTGTGGGTTAGTTTGTTTTCACTTAGCTGTGAGCCTGCCCAAGCTGCTTGGCTTCGTGGGTGGGGTAAGCAATTGCTGTGAACGCCTGGGTTTATGTGCTTTGGTTGAGATGGCAGTCAGTGATCTGAGAACAGCCTCAAGAGGTCCTTTCTGACATCCTTTGCTTGCTCATCTTGCCTCCCAGTCATCCTCTGAGGTGAAATCTTCTGAGCCCAGGGCACTTTGCCTGCCTTCTGTCCACCATTCAGCTTTTCTCATCTCTAAGCTTCTTCTGGTCTCGTTCTCTTTTTGTCTTTGTCTCTTCTTTTTTCGTCTTTTTATTCCCATCTCTAAGCTTCCTTTGTTGTCCATGTGCTCCCTTTGACTTGCTGTGCCCTAGGGCACAGGACTTCCTGACTTGCTTAATGGGGTATAAAGAGCTTCTAGCTTTTTCTGCAGCCTGAGGAAGGCCAAGAGTTGTACAGGGAGTTGTCACATGGGAAGTGGAAGTGAGGTAAGAGAGAAGGATGGAAGCCTTTGAATTGGGATGGTGGATGAGTGATGAGGTTAACATCTCCTGAGAGCGCTCACATCTGCATGCCATGGTACAGTGACACAGCCAGCTGTGTTGACAGTGCTGGTGAGGTGGCTGCCCCGTTCCACACACTGAGGATGAAGATGTCTGGCCTGTGCTCACTTTCCCGTTCTCCTTTTACCTGCAGGGTAATCTCTTTGATTTTCTGAGGCTGACAGGTTGGCGTGGATCCAAGGTGCTCTACTTTGGTGACCATCTGTACAGTGATCTTGCGGTGAGTAAAAAGCTGTGCGTGCTGCTTCTGTGTTTCCCATAGCAGGACTTTGAGTGATGAGCACTGTGGTACATCAGGAGGATCTGTCTGTGTCCAGGCTGAGCATTTTGGGTAGTCAGTCATCCAGGAGGTGTGTGTGGCCAGACTTCTGCACGTCTGGCATCATGGTGTATTTCAGAGTGAATCCCTGCTGCTGCTCTACAAGCCCAAATTGTCCCAGAATGCCTAAAGCTGCTTTGGAGAGGGGGGAAACCCAAAAGCAGATGATAGCAAGGTTGGAACATGCTTGTTAGAGTGCTGCTGAAGTGAGGAGTGAAGCAGAACAACCTGGTTACCTCCTGTGGTAACCGGAGAGCATCAGAGAGGCAGTGCTGTGGTCCTGTTGAAGGAGGAGGTGGTGCTGTGGCTGCTGAAGGACAGGAAATGGCTGAGGAGGGAATGCAGCAAGGCGGCAGCAAGCTGGTATGACTTGTGGTCGTGTTGGTCTGCAAAGCAGGGCCCTGCTCTGAGCATTCAGGTCTCAGCATACTTGCTTGGTGCTCTGTAGGCTGTGGCTTTTGGGATGCTTCCTGGACGTAACATCCCACTCTGCTGTCATGCAAAAGGAAGCAGTGCAGAAAGGACACCTGAGATACTTTCTGCCAGTGAAGAATGACTGCTGGTCTGTGAACTTGAGAGCAGTTCATGTGGAGCTCACGTTTCTAGATGCTGCTTGTAGCTGGTCCTGGTGGCTGGGAGATAGGAGTTATGGTGTGACCCAGAATGGACTGTTAGGATGGCTGTCCCCTGAGGATCTGCAATGGGAACAGACCACTTTCCAAGAAAATGGGGTTGTGTTTGGCTTTCAGTCTTCATGTTGAACTCACAGTTGTTTTTTCACCCTGACCTCCAGGACCTCATGCTGCGTCACGGCTGGAGGACTGGAGCCATAGTCCCTGAACTGGAGACAGAGATTCGGATCATAAACACAGAGCAGTACATGCACTCCCTGACCTGGCAGCAGGCTCTGACGGGGCTGTTGGAAAGGATGCAGGTAAAGAGCTCCTGTCTGAGCAGGGTATTTAACATGCCTTCTTCCGAGTCTGAGACTTAGGACTGGTGTAGGAATCAGAGGATATCATAATTTTCCCATGTTCTGAAAATCTTATTCTCCTCAAACAAAGTTGCATGGGCCTCACAGATTTGTGAGTTATGTGAAAACCCTGAGGGTGTTGGAGGGGACTGGAGGTGTGACTTACAGGGCTGATGTGACCTGGCAGTTGCTGTTGTCTCTGCAGATGTATCAGGATGCGGAGTCAAAGCAAGTACTGCTGGAATGGATGAAGGAGCGGCAGGAGATCAGGTCAGTGCATTGCTATGCTTGCTTATGGGCTCTCGGGGGCTCTCAGGTCTGCACTGAGCCTATTTGGTAACCTGTTTTGTGGAAGGTGTTGCTGCAGCTCTTGGCTTACGGCCCTCCCTGCTGCCTCGTGTCTGTGTTGGGCTGCAGCAGTGCAGTCCTGCAGCAGGAGAGGTTGGACAGCATGAACACAGGCTGGGAAAGGGGTGGTGGTGGTGTCAGCCTGTGCCAGAAGGGCCTGTGGGCTGACTGCTGTGACTCCTGGCACTGCAGGCACTGCAAGTAGGTCCCCACCTCTAGCAGGAATAGCTGGGAGGAAGGCAGTGTGGTCTCAGTGCACAAGGGAGGTCTTCCTCAGGCCTCAGTGGGAGGCTGATCCTGAAATATCCTGTGGGAGTGGAAGGCAAACTTTGGGGAGTTGCAAAACTTTCGGGAGGAACCTGGGGTCACACCACTGGACCTGGGAGGTCTGCTGTGAGCTGGAAAGGCATGAATTCTTATCTGTGTTGGCAAAATTCATGTTGGGCCCAAGAGGGCTTTGCCTGCTGGGGCCTCTGTTGTTTTGCAGTAATTGCCAAACTGCCAGTTGCCAAATTCTGATGAGCATAGTTGTTGTGAGAGTCTTCTGGGAAGCCTGGGAGGCTGTGGAGCACCTGGAGTGCAGATGGCACTCACAGTGGCTCTCTCTGGGCAGAGATTGAGCCTGAGAAGTGCCTTTGTCCTACAGAGCTCCATTTTTTTCCCCTCAGGTCGCTGACAAAGAACCTATTCAACCCCCAGTTTGGAAGCATCTTCCGCACCTTCCACAACCCCACGTACTTCTCACGCCGGCTGGTGCGGTTCTCTGATATCTACATGGCATCCATCAGTTGCCTGCTGAACTACGATGTCAATTTCACCTTCTACCCACGGCGCACCCCTCTGCAGCATGAGGCCCCACTCTGGATGGATCAGCTCTGCACAGGCTGCATGAAAACCCCCTTCCTGGAGGAGATGGTGCACATTCGGTGAAGGGCCAGCTATTCCAGCCAACTGAGTGAGTCTGTGCGTGTGGCCAGCAGCACCTCTGTGTACCACTAAAGGATGTTTGACACTTATGTTCAGGTGTAGATCGTGTGTTTGCTGCTCCCTGCTTTATGCCTAGAGAGGCACAGAAGCGGAGTCCTGAGCTGCTGGGGCACGGGGAGCAGAACCTGTGTGAGCTGTGACTAGTGCTGGCTGCACGAGCTGTCCTTGGGGAGAAGGACTGGCAGTGCCAGGTGCTTGCTGCTGGGGGCAGGGAGTGGAAAGGGACAGTGCTGCCTCCTGCAGAGGAGGAAAGGTGATGAACATAGAATCATAGCATTGCTCAGTTTGGAAAAGACCTTCAAGGTAATGAAGTCCAACCTCAGTCTAATCCTACTACCCCCACTCCAACAAGCCTCTGCTAAATCATGTTCCTGAGCACCATGTCCAAATGGTTTTTAAACACATCCAGGGATGGTGACTCAATCTCCTCCCTGGGGAGCCCATTCCAGTGCTTAACAACCCTTTGTGTAAATAAGTGTTTCCCCAAACGTATCATTATAAGCAAAATAAAACAATCTCCCCTAGAGCAACTTGAGGCCATTTCCCCTTGTCCTGTCACCAGGGAGAAGAGACCAACCCCGCTCTCACTGCAACCACCTTTCAGATGTTGGAAGTGAGCTAAGGTTTCCCCTCAGCTCCTTTTCCCCAGACCGAACAGCCCCAGCTCCTTCAGTCTCTCCTCAAAGGCTGTATTTTCCAAGCCCTTCCCCAGCCTTGTTGCCCTTCTTTGGACCTGCTGCAGCACCTCCATCTCCTTTCTGTACTGCGGTGCCCAAAACTGAACCCAGCACTCGAGGCCACACCAGTGCTGAGTACAGGGCAGGATGACTTCCCTGGTCCTGGCCACCATTCCTGATCCCAGCCAGGATGCCATTGGCCTTCTTGGCCACCTGGGCACGCTGCTGGCTCATATTCAGCCCACTGTCCATCACTACACCAAGGTCCCTTTCCATCAGCCAGCTTTCCAGCCACTCCTCCCCAAGCCTGTAGGGTTGCCTGGGGTTGTTGTGACCAAAATGCAGGACCTGACCCTCGGCCCTATTGAAACTCACACAGTTAACCTTGGCCCATCGATCCTGTCTATCCAGGTCCCTCTGCAGTGCCTTTCTCCCCTCAGGCAGATCAACACTCCATCCCACCTCCCTATCTTTTGCTAACTTACTGAGGTTGTAACCATCCCTCACCAGGATGGTTAATAAAGGTGTTAAATAGTAGCAGCCCCAGTACCCTAGGGCACAACGCTTGTGACAGGCAGGCAACTGGATTTAACTCCACTGACCACAGCTCTTTGGGTCTGGCCATTCAGCCAGCGTTTCTCGCAGCGGAGCGTACGCCCGTCCAAACCGCGGGCAGCCAGAACAAGGAGGCTGCTCCCGGAGTCGGGCCCCAGGACGGCTGGGAGCCATTGAGGCTGCCGCGCAAATCGAGGGCGGCGAGACCCGACGCTGGGAGCGGGGCCGGGCCGCGTGCCGCGAGGTGCCGCGAGAACCGGAGCCGCGGAACCGGGCGCTACTGAGGGTGAGGGGCGGAGCTCTTTATTTGTCTGCGCCCGCGGGGCCGCGCCGCAGCCGGGTCCGTCACTGCTGGTCGCCGGTGCCCGCGGGATCCTGCAGCAGCAGCGCGTCCTGCCGGGAGAGCGGCGTGAGCGCGGGGCGGGGGGCGGCGGAAGGGGGGGTGGGGGCGGCGCTCACGTGCAGCGGTTCGTAGTCGGGGGCGTGGCCGCCGTACAGCGGGTTGGGGATGGCGACCAATGGGCGCTGGGGGCGGGGCCTGGCGGCGCGCGGCTCCGCCTTCGCTCGCGAGCGCTCCTCGTCCTCCTCGTCCTCCTCGCGCAGGTCGGCCTGCAGGCGCGGGGCTGTGCTCAGCGGCGCCCCGCCTCCCGTCCCGAGTCTGCGGGACCGGCACGGGGCTCCGCTCCCCCCCGCCTCCCCGCCGCCACCGCACCTGGAGGTACCCGAACTGCCCGTCCCGCCGGCGCCGTTTCACGCAGTACGCGGTGCCCGCGGCGGCCGCCCCCGCCAGCGCCACGCACAGCGCCGCCAGAGCCCCCGCTGCGGCGCCGGCAGCGCGCGTCCCTCCGCCCACCTGCGGAGAAGCGGGGCGTCACGGCGGGCGGGGGGAGGCGGAGGCCGAGCGCTCCGTGCCCCCCCCCACTCGCCTGCTCGAGCTGCACCGCGGGCGGGGGCAGCCGCAGCGGCTCGGCGAGGGCGTGGATGACGCCGTTGGCGGCCGCGATGTCCCACTCCACGACGGCGGAGTCGTTGATCCACGTGGTTTCCTGCGGCGGCGAAGAGAGCGGCAGCGGCCTCCCCGCGGCTCGGACCCGCAGCGCGGGGGGGAAGGAGGAAGGTGACCTCGTCGAGGTCGGACCTACGGAGCGCGCGGTGCCGTTGCCTGGCGGGAAGGGGGACACGAGGAGGTCGCGCCCCGCCCGGGACGGGACGGCGGTTCCCGCGGTGAGGTCGAAGCTGAAGAGCAGCAGAGCCGAAGCGTGCAGCTGCAGCTCCTCTCCCGACAGCGTCTGCGGGGAGAGGGCCGGGGCTGGACGGAGTCGGGGCCGCACGGAGCCCCGCTGATCCCCGGGAGTCGCGCTCGCCCCGCGGCCGCGTACCTCATTCTCTGCGAATCCAGAATTCACGGGTACGAAAAGCGTTTTGGGAGTGGAGTCGTCGGACAAATAGGTGAAAAACTCCAGCCCTTCCGCCGAGCCGTTGGCAAAAGCGAGCAGCAGCTGGAAAGCATCCCATCAGCACTGCGGGCAGCCCGGGCCGGCCCCGCCACGGTCCCACTCCCGGCGCGTCGCTTACGGAGTAGAAGGTGGAGAAACGCGCTTCCTCGGCCAGCACGTCGGGGAGGCGGCCGCGGCACCACATGCCATCCCCCACGAAGCCGTCGGGGCACACGCACGTCACGTCTGCAAGGGAACGCCGCGATGCGCCTCGCAGTGCCCCGGGCCGCCCCCGGCTGCCCACCGCCCCCCACACCGCCCTGGGCGCCCTATCGCCGCCCCCCCCGGCCCAGCCCCGTGCCCGCACCGCTCACCCTTCTCGCGGTAGCAGAAGGCATCCCAGGTCTCGCTGAGGTTGCTCCGAGGGCCGTAGTCCACGATGCCCACGTGGTTGGAGCCGCAGCTCGGGGTGGGAAATGCCGTAGGGTAACCCGCGGTGCCGTTGTCCATCCAGCCCACCAGGCACAGGTGGAACCCCATCTGCGGGGAAGCAGAGCATCAGGAGCCAGGGTGAGGATGTCTGCGATGGCTGTGCGGCTCCACGCTGTACCCTCCTCCCATCTAAAGGACTGAGGTGTGCCCCATCCCACTGGCACAAGCGAGGCCCAATTTCGTGGCTGTGAGCCGCTCCAGACCCCACTGCGGTGTGGACCTCGCACAGGGAAGGTGGCAAAGGCCGCTGGGGGGCTAAGGAAGAGGGCAGCCTCCTGCGAGGGACACAGAGCATGGCCCCCTGCCACTGCTGCTCCCCACCTGCTGCGCGGCCCCCAGCTGCTGGAACGTGGCCAGGACCGCCCCCTCTGCAGCACACGCCTCCTGCGCCTGCACGTAGGTGAAGTCGTACTTCTTTCGGGGCGATTGCAGGTGGAACACACCCATGGTCTTATCTGCAAAATGGAGCCACGGAGCATCAGCACAGCACCAACCCCACGCCACACCGGCCTGCACCCATCTGTGGCCCCGTAGGCACTCACCGTGGAAGTGCAGGTCTGTGCAGATGGCCTCCCGGTGGCACTGCCCATTGCTGTCCAGGCACCGGTCCGTTGGGGGCACCGCCTCCTCCAGGCACTGGATTCCATCGCCAATGTAGCCCCTCTTGCACTCGCAGCGCCGCTTGTTCTGCAGCACACAGGGTGTTGGCCATCGTGCAAGCAGCAGCTGCTGAGCTGTGCTCCTGTGAGCCCTGAGCACTGCCACAGCTGTGCAGAATCGCAGCAGAATGTGTGGCCTCCATGGGCTGGCGGCCCATGTTCCAAGCCTGCATCCAGCTGCACGGGAACCCCCCTAAAGTGTTGCACAGATCACTTCCAGCTGAGCTGCAGGGATGTGGCACGTTCCAGCACTGCAGTGCAGGTCTGGCCCCATTTTCCCCATAGTGAGCAGCTTTGTTCCTCTACTGCTGGCCTTCACTGTCCCTGAGGGACCATCCAACATCCTTGAAATGCCATGGCTATGGCAAACCCTGTGCCCATTGGGCAGAGGTGGGGGAGAAACGGCCCCAGCATGACACCAGTGGGAGCTCGGCCCCGTGAACTGTGCAGGCCTGAGTACAGCAGTGTGGGATCTGCACAGCACGGATGCTGCCCCTGTGTGTGGGCTGTGCTCACCGGCCCGGTGCTGATGCAGTGTGCGTGCTCGCTGCAGTCCCCATTCCTGCCGTCTGCGCAGCGGTCAATGGGCTCACAGACGTAGCCATCTCCCCAGTACCCCACAGCACAGGTGCAGGAGACGTTGACACCAAGCTGCGAGCAGGCAGCATGCGTGGCACAGCCACCGTTGTCCTGGCTGCACATATCAATGGCTGCATAGAAAACAGCATTACCAGCACCGGAGCTCCGTTCTCCTGCCCTGTGCACCACCCCCGGCATGGCCTACCCCCATGGAGCTGCTCTGACCCCGAGGCCCCACCTGTGCAGGCTCTGCCATCCCCTTCATAGTGCATGTCGCATTCGCAGAGGTTGCCAGCACGGCAGGAGGCCTGGGGGTGGCACGGCGGCGTGCAGGTGGGCTTCATGGCTGAAAACAGAGTGCAGGTTAGAGAGCCACAGGTGTGCTCCCAGGGCTGCAGTGCAGGACAGCTGTCAGCCCCAGAGCCTCTCTGGAGGTCTGTTAGGGGGATGAGCCTCTGGGCCCAGCCGTGAGCCACATAGGGAAGCTCAGGGGTTGGCAGCCCTCACCCAGGGGGACTTCGCAGCGCTCGCCAGTCCAGCCTTCAACACAGAAGCAAAAGCCATCTCCATGCAGCCCTCCGTTGCACACACCATGCTCAGTGCAATTACACTCTGAGGGGCAGGAACACCACTGTCACTGCTCTGCTGCAGTGGCAGGAAGGGCCACAGACAGCAGTGTGCCAGTGCACACAACTCATGTCCCTGTGCCTCCAGACCCAACTGTCTGCTCCACATGTTCCCATGCAGGAGGGACCACCACCCAAACCCCTCATCACTCAGCACCCCCTGTCCTGCTCTGTTCCAGGGGACACACAAGCTCCTCCACTCAGGGCTCTTTTCCCTCCCTGTGTCAGATGCACCCCAGGATCTCTGCCCTACTAGGCTGGTAAACCAGGAGGAACCATTGAGCCCAGGGCCTTCTAGAAACCACACCCAGAGCACCATCTGGACTGCAGCGAGCCCTGCACATCCCCTGCATGGTGCAGGTGTTCTGCACTGATTCTTGTGCTCACCCAGCACCTATCCCCCTCCATCCTGCAGCCACCTCTGCACAAAGGCACTGCGCAGTCTCCCTGAGCTCCCCATACCTTGGCACTGGGGCCCATATCTGCCCGGTGCACACAGCTCACAGCTGGTCCCGATGAAGGCCTGGCTGCAGTTGCATCGCCCCGAGCCACTGATTTTGTCATCGCAGGTCCCACGGTTCCCACACGGCGCCTCGAGCCCCCCTGGGCACGCTGCAGATGAAGACCTCCATGAGGCTGTGGTGATGTGGAGCTGATGTGCTCTGGGGCAGCACCACTCACACAGGGGTGACACACACTGCCACATATGACATATTTAGTGGCCTGGGACAGCCCACGTCCTTGGGATGGGGCTTGAAGAAGAAGTTTGCTGTGTGTCCAGGCTGGGCTCTGCTGCCTGGCCTCACTGAGCGGCCAGTAGCTGCTGTGCAGGAAGCACAGAGCCTATAGTCAGCTGTGGCCACGTGCTGGGTGCAGAGGGACAAGTGATGCGACTGCCCACGGCCCTCAGCAGTCCGTGGCTCACTGGGGCTTTCTCCAAGGAAAGGGAATTCCCTGTTCCAACCTCACCACATTTCCCCATCCGTGGATGAGGCTCTCTGCCTGGGCACTGCCTGCCCTGCTACACAGGCACTAGGGATCCATGCACGCTGCCTTACCCTGGCAGTCGCGGCCGTAGTGGTTCGTGCAGCACTGGGGGACCCACTGGGTGGAAACGCACTTCCTTCTGCAGCCTCGTTTCAGAGGCCCCCTGGAAGAGAAGTGTCTTCTGAAGGGTTCCCACGGGGAGAAAGACCAGGACGGCCGCAATGGGTGGTTATGGCGAAACAGAAAAGTGTTCCTGAACAGTTGGTTTTCGAAATAGTGGCAGCCCCAGGTTCCCCCCTGCAGGGAAACAGGCACAACACAGAGTTTGCCACATTGATCGCTGGACACCATGCCCCTTCCACCTCACCTCGACCCTCCCAGGCCCCTTGTTTGATCCCACAACCAGTAATGGAGGCTCCCTAGCATGGGGTGGGAGGCAAAGGAACTGTGGGGTGACAGCAGTGCGGGAGATGCTCCTGCCAGGACATTGTTAACCCCCTCCCCCCCGGCAGCCAGGCAGAGCTCTTTGGCCCTGAGGCCCCCACAAGGCTCCCTGTGCTGCTCCAGGGATGGAGCTGGGTTCGTTACCCGCTGCCACCCACACGGGGACTGGCCAGACTCCCCAAGCCCATGCTGCTTGTTCCACCCTGCTCCACCAAATGGCATTGCTGAGCCCAGCACACACACGCGCCTTCGTTATGCTGCTAAAACATGTGGGGGGTGTTGTCAGCAACCCTCGGCAGGCTGCCTCAGTGCCAAAGGTGAAAGCTTTACCCGTTGCACTGAGCCAGCAGGGCAGGGCGGCTCGAAGCCACAGGGTCCGCAGCTCTCCATCGATCCCTGTGGAGGGAGAAAGAAACCCCACAGCCACTCAGTGTGGGTTCTGCTTCTGACAGCGTGGATCCACATCAGCATCACCCCAACTACTCACCTGCAGCTCCACAGAGATGAACTCATCGCAGCGAGATCCCAGATCTGGTGGCTCTAACAGCCTGTCGATGCCGTAAGCAATGCCCCCATCAAATTCCATGTGCCTCTGAATGACCACAGCATCACCATTTCCCACCAGAAGCTCTCCCTGCCAAAGGAAGAAAGCACCTCATTATCCTGGTGCATTCTGCACCCTGGCTGCACCACCTGGACATCATTCATTCTGGCTGCCACTTCTCAATCACCCCAAGAACTCTTCACAACCTCCATGCTCATATCCTTATCCACCCAAATACTGTTTTTCACAGCCACCTCTATTAAGAAATGGTCTATCCAGGTCATGGCAGCAGCAGGTTGATGCAGCAAAGGGGCCATCGCTGCATGTATCTGCAGGGCCACATGCCTCTGCCCTCTCCTGCTGGCTGGTCTCTGAGCCTGAGCCCAGCTGCAGCCATTGCAATGGGGCATCCCAGAATGAGGGCAGCCCCACTCCATCTTACCCTCCTGCTGGTGTATGAGTATCTGCTGCCCATGGCAAAGTGGGACCAAGCACCACCTTCACATACCACATGGGTTCTGCTGCAGCTGAACGAGACAGTGGAGCCATGCATGGTCCGTATGGAATTGACCTGGGGCATGTTACCAGCAACAATCTAAGAAGGAAAATGATCAACACAGAATCATAGAATGGTTTGGGTTGGAAGGGACCTTTAAGACCATGTAATTCCAGACCCCTGCTGTAAGCAGGGACACCTCCCTCTAGCCCAGGTTGCTCACAGCCCCATCCAGCCTGGCCTTGAATGCCAGGAAAGACAGGCAAAACTGACAGTTTGCATTTCAAAAAAGGAGCACTGCCTGGTGAGGGACAGGGCCAGAAGCCACACTGAAGAGGTGGATGTGGCAGCACACCCTGCTAGTGTGGGAGCAATGGCATAATGGTTAGTCCTGTCCTGAGCAGCAAGCAGGCCTGGCAGGGCTCAGCTTGATGCATCGTCCCCCTAGAGAAGAGCTCATGCGAGCCATGCGCTGGCTGCTGGGAGTGATGTGGCCTCCTTGCAGCTTTTGCAGGAAAGGTTCAGCTCAGCCACACTGCACCTGAGGTTTGTGATGGAGTGCTGCATGCACTCAAACAGGGCCTGGTCTTCCCAGCACAGCTGGTATGCAGCTGATACGCTGCATGTTCCACATGGCAAAATATTGGGCAAGGTCGCTCTGGAGCAGCTACAGGCAGATGTGTGACCTGGGAGGCATTCAGCCTACTTGCTGTTATGTTTACCTTCGTGCCTCTGATCATGTGTGCTTTGAGGTAGGAGGCCAGCTTGCCCCGGTGCTCCCTGTGGTACAGCCACTGCTGCCTTTTCTCTGGGAGGGCATTAAATGCAGCATCTGTAGGCCACAGCATGGTGAAAGGTCTGTGCAGAGGGTTACTGATCAGCGGCAGCAGCTCCGCATCCTGTCCAAGACAAGAAGGGATATGAAGAAAAAGGCCAAAGTGTTCACAGCAGCTCCCCAGGAGGCATGGCTCACCTTCAGCAACTTGCTATAAATGGTGTACCCAAAGGTCTCTGCTGCTTCTGTGATGTTCAGCTGCAGCGAGAAGAAAAATTGTCACCAAATGCCTCTGGGACTGGAGCTGCTGTGCCAGTTTGTCCCCCTAGGCAGTTAACAATCACAGTAGGTAAACACAATGCATTCATTCCTTGTGGCTGTGCCATGGATTTGGCCCTGCAAATGCTGGAATGCAGCAGCCACCACTTTTCTGATTCGTGCAGGTCAGACTGCTGTGGTGGGAACTGGGATGACTTTCACTGTGCTATACAGATAGTGTGTTATTTACTGTAAAATCCAGTGGCTGTGCACTGCTAATGCTTGTTTTAGCAGTGCCAGAGAGACACTGGCATGCAGTCTTTGCACTGGAATAGGACTGTGCTGGTTTGCATCAAAGATGAGATTCCTCCCCACACTCTGTACTGTTTTCTGATTGTATTCTGTCCCAAATACCACTGTGCCACAAATGCTTTCACTTCACAAGCCAGACCTGTGTGCTCAGACATCACCTGCACAGCTTGGAGCAGCAGGGAGCAGCATCCATGGAGCAGGGCTTACTGGGGCAGCAGTGTCAGAGCTGCTGGGAGGACGATCCCAGCCCTGTCTTCAGCACAGCAGTTTGGGCTTTGGACTTACCTGTGAGAGCTGTGAGGAAATGTTACGGCTCACCAGGTCACTTGGAATGAGGATCTTGTTGATGAAATGGATGACCCCATTCACACCGACGATGTCACTCGTGACCACTTTGGCTTCATCATTGAGATAGATACTATTCTGAGAGAGAAGGGACGCAATGAGGTGCTCCCGTGGGGCACTGCCCTCTGAGCCATCCGTGGGCATTACTTGTTACAACCAGCAGGCCTTCAAAAGACAGCAAAAGTGACAAGCTGTCAAGCGGGACAGGGAAGGGAAAATGGTGGCAGTGAACTACCTCTTTCTCAGTGATCTTTATCGTGTGACCAGATAAAGATGTAAGGGACTCCTGGGCTTCCAGGTCACTCAACAGCAATTTCTGGCATCCCACCATGTGGTAGCGAAGCAGCTCCTGGAGAAGACCTCTGCTCTTCCACTCCTCAAACTGCAGAGACAAAACAGGAACACTGGGGGCACTTTGCCTCTCCAGGGAGGCAAAGACTTAATGAGGGAGACCTGGATTATCCCAAGCCTTTCTGCTTGGCCTGCCCCACTGACTCATTCCTGCAGGAAAGCTGGCTCCCCCAAAACACAGTGAATGCACACATCCATTCAGGAATGTGGGGAAATTTCAATCAACATTGCAAAGATTGCCTTACTGGAAAACATACAAGTACACTGTCCACGAGCAATTAATGCCCGTGATACACAGTTCTTGGGATTTGTTCCTTTAATGAGAGTGTAGTGCATGGGAAAAAAGCTGGGACTCGAGGTGTGAAACTGCCCAACAGGACTTAGGGTGGTGGTGTTAGGATCTTACATCACACCAACACCAAAAAGCTGCTGGTCAAGAACTGTCCTGTTCATGGGGTTGTGGATAAGGATCTCTCCTCCCTTAGGTCTCCTCTTCTTGGGACTGGAGGGAAGAAGCCAATGAAAGTGGGACGGCAGGGTATGGGGCATGGGGAAGGAAAAAATAATAATCTGTCTTCATAACAGATACTCTAAAGCCTTGCTATTAGCAACCCCTCATAGCCACGGGCAATGAAAGTCATTGCACATCACTGATTTGGCAGCATCTCTGAGGACTACAAGACAAGGCCTCCAGCAAGCATTTCCTTACAGCAGGACCCATGCCCAGACTGCCCAGACTGGGAGCAGAGAGGCTTTCAAACCTCACACTGATGGAGAATGGAGGATGCATTTAATACTCTTCAGTGCAACCCCATTGCTTCAAGGCACTGCAATAATTGGAGCTTGCCTATCCTGAGGGTGTCTGGGATGGGAGGACACTTACAGTTGTAGAGTTTCCTATGAAGTCTGCCCGTGGGATGAAGACAGTGAAAGGCCCTGCCCCACTGAGCTCCTTGTTTTTTTCTGCCTGTGGCAAGGAAGCATTTGTGGGACAGCAAACATAGTTCCAGTTAGCAAAACTCTCTATAGAAAATACCAGGTGAAACTGACAGACAAAGGCAAAGCTATTTGTCACTGACCAGTATCATCTTAAAGAACACAGATGCATCTTCTATCCTTGCGAGTTCCTTAAACAAAGAGAAACAGCTGGTGTTAGCATAGCTCCTTCCAACCAGCCAGCACTGTGACCTGCCCCTTCCACTCCAAGTCACTCTTCCACTCTGGTAAGACATCGGTTCTTCTGACACCAGAATCGCCTTCCCACCCTGTCAGCACTGTGGGCATGGAGGTCACAGAGCAGGCAGTGACCTCTGCCCGACCATTCACATCTGAGATGCTGCAAGATGAAGAGGGCAGGGACTGCTGAGGATGGAAAGCTGGCAGCTTCTGCAGGGGTGGCTCACGGGGCACCTCAAGTGCTTCATAGAACATCCCTTTTAATCACAGTATGCTGCCACCAGCAGTTCTGGGATGCTGTACTGAGTGGCTGACAGAGGCTTAGAAAGGCCTCCTCCACACAACACAGTAGAACAGGAGCACAAAACTGAGCCACTCTCTTTTCTCCCATCTCTGTGTGGGCATGATAACTGATCATCTCTGATAGCTTTTCATTTGCTGCTACCAGAAAGGTCACCAGTTCCTCCAAGCACAGTCGCTGAGTTGGCAACAGAGCTGGAGAGAATCCTGACCATGCCTCCCTCTAGCTTGCATCCCACATGCTGCTATTGCCAACCAGGGACAACTGCCTTGACCCCACAGACTGAGAGAAGTGGATTTCCCAGCGAAAGAGTCGCTTGTCACAGTTAGAAAACATGACACAATTGGAGGCATGGCCACAGCTGCCAACAGAACAGCAAAGGTGTCCACACTGCAGCTCCCTCTGGAGCAAAGTTGCTTTACTACAATTGCAACCCTAAGTCAGAACCCCAGATCTACCTTCCCTCCTACACCATACACACACAGTGATACTCACACAGACCTGCAGCTTGTGCTTGGAGGGAGATTTGCTGTGGGGCAGGAGGCTTGAACATAAAAGATGCTGTGCATGTTTCTCACCTGATAGACTTTACCACGGCAGGTGAAGCCATCTCCAATGCTGTGCCAAGAGCAGGAGCAGTTTCGAGTGCCAGGGCCTGTGTATTTGCAGAGCCCAAAGGGACTGCAGCCTCCATTGTTCTAGCAAGAAAAGTGAAAGGCTTACACTTCAAATTTTGAGCACATTCCACACAAAATGGATGCAGAGAAACAGGCCCACATGCCTTCCACTCTGTCACTCTTTCACTCTTCCTGCACTGCTTGTCCCAAAAGAGGGACACCCCATCCTAGTGCCACGTGGCTGAGATACTTGCAGGTCATTGTGAGAAGCAATAGAAACCACAGACACTGTGAGATTCCTTATGTGTGTAAGAAGGCAAGACAGCTGGCTCTAAACAAACAGGTTAACCTCATCTTTGCTTTTAATTGTTGGGTAAAGAAGTGCTTCAAGGCTGTGACCCTTACCCTGGTAATAGGAAAATGCAGACAAACCTGTTCACATAAGTTGATGGGGTTGCACTGTCTCACACCATCCCCACTGTAACCAGGAAGACAGTTACAGGCAACCTGGAGGGAAAACAAATGCTTGGTCTGAAACTTGGACCCAACAAAGAAAACACACAATGGCTGAATGGATGGAAAACATGTGCTGTAACATCTGTCCCACACTCACTTCCTTCATGAAGAAAGTCATGTTTGTGTCAACAACCATAACCTGACACTACCTCCAACCATAACCTGATACTACCTCCAGCCTCTGGTCAACAGAAAGCATCTGCTTTTGAGGAAACAGCAGGCTCTTCATGTCCTGCCCAGGCAACTGTTCTTTGTGGAAGGCAATAAGTACAACACTAGCATTGCCATGGGAAGGACAGTCTTTTGGAGAATGACACATCTGTGACAACTTCCATAGTATCTCTGCCCTGACATCCATCTTATTACTCACCTTCCCTGGGCCTGTTTTAACACACTCTGCGTTGATGTGGCAATCCCCACTGCTTTCAAGACAAAGATCAATTTCTGCAGCAAAACAATAAGGCCACGTTATTGCTGAGGGCTGCTCAAGGCAGCTGGGAACTGGCGATCCAAAGAGGTAAAGCAACAGGGAGGACCTTCCCAGCTTTGGAAATACCCTCATGGCAAAGCAACTTGCAAAAGCAAAGGAACAGGCAAGAAGTGCGAGTTTGACTCTTGCCACACATGAGTCTCTAAGTTGTGATAAATTTGCCCCCTGAGAATGCCATGTCCATCTGAGCATGCTTGGAATGATAGAAGAGGGCTGGACTCTCCTGCAGCTCCAGCCTCATCTCAGAGCACCACAGAACATTGGCCAGCCAATGATACAGGTGCAGAGGGCAGCCAGGGCTCTCTGCACATCTCCGGGTGGCACTGTGTCAGGGCAGCAGTGACCACATCACTCCTCAGGACCTGGGAAAATTCTGAGCACATCCCTGCAGATACGTACGTAAGTGCACAGAAATGTGTGCATGCACCCCAGCAAAAGGCAGAAATGGTTGAATCAAGGCCAGCCACTAATTACTGACTCTGAAATAATGTCTGCATGAACAGGCAGAAAGAACAGCCAAGTGATTTGGTGTTTTGACCTGAAACGTTAATGCTTTTTGCCTGAAATTCCCTTTTGCATGAGCCATGTCTTGCCACCATCACCAACACATGAACTGAGCACTCACCCCTGCAGAGTGTCCCATCGCCAGCATAGCCCTCCTTACAGACACAGGTTCTCTCTCCTGGGGACACTTTAGTACACACAGCATGTATGGAGCAGCCACCGTGATCAATAGCGCATGGATCTATTTCTGTGATGGCAAACAAAAGAAGCAGAACCAACTTAGAGCATCTAGGGAAGATAAACAGGGCCAGGATGATCGTTCATCTTAACAAAAATCAGATCGTCTTATTTAAATCCCTTTCTTTCTCAATGAAACTTTAAAGGCAGGGGATTCACCTGGGTCTGAGAGGGCAGTTCAGAAGTCATGCTGAGCTCAAACAAACCCCACACCGGACTAAGAAGTCTTTCCATCTCGTTTGCATACAGATGACCAATGATTAGTCCAGCAAAAAATCCTTTCCTGCACACTGCACATGCATTTTCACTTTTTCCTTTCAGCCTTTTCAAAAAAGACAATGCTGAAAATCAACTAGGACATCTACCAATGTTTTGATTTCTCTGCTACAATATTACTCTGAGCTACAACATTACTGCTCTTGTCTCTCATTTGACACAGTCAGATACATGCAGCTCCTGAGCAGTTCCCTGAAATCCTACTTCATTTTGGCACAGATGCTGCACTGCTTCTACCTGATTTCAGCATGGCCAACAAATATGAGGAGTGTGACATTTTAAGGAATCAAAGCATTCATATTACAGGGATGTTGGCTGAAACCACTATAGCTTTGTCACTGTTGCTGTTATACCTGAACGAGTGCAATCCATTCACATACACTTCTGTCCATAAGAAGTAAGAATTGCCCTGCTACACCTGCCTTTTGTCTCTCTCTTGCAAAACCTTTGTATGTGCATAGACTCTACAGATGTTTGCAAACCTTAAATCTTGGCCGTGTTTGACATACCTGTGCAATGTGTCCCATTCCCTGTGTACCCAGCAGAGCAGAAGCACATAGGTGGGGAATCTGCAGAGGCATTCAGGCAGCTGAAACAAGATGGAGAAAAATAATCACTGAGTACATCTTCTGATTTGCTTGGTCAGTGGAAGAGAAGAGGCCAACCCCGAGTTCACTACAGCCTCCTTTCAGGTAGTTATAGAGAGCAGTAAGGTCTCCCCTGAGCCTCCTCTCAAAAGGTCTTGCAGACCCCAAGACCTAAGAAGAGCATTTGAAGAAGAGACCCATCGTCGTGGCAGCGTGGCAGAGGTTTGCACAAAACAAAGGCTGCCTAACAGCTGCACTCCTCATAGAACACAGAGCCTCCTGTCTGTAGCTTGGCCCCTTCCTCTCTGCCCCAGCTACCCAGTGCTCATTATGCTTATGGAGAGGCACTGGAGTGCTCCAGCAGGTGAGGGGTGATAGCTGGCTGGCAATAGCCACTTTGTGACCCTGTAACCATCTGGCTGCATCCAGAAATGAGCCTGTGGCCTTGGACAGTCACACAAAGATCTGGAACAAAGCTCCTGGGCAGCACTGCTGGGTCTCATACATGTCAGCAAGGAGCCAAACAAGTCAGCAGATCTCCACAGGATGCTTTGCCCATCTATCAGACTGCAGGGAGGACTATAAGCTGGTACATGCCCAAAGAGAACCCTCTGCTCACTGGGGCCTGAATGACATCTGTTGTCACTCAGACCTAATGCCTAAATTCTGGGGCAGGTCTGACAGAGGCTCTCATAACCACCTGGGACCACTGCAGAAGCAGGACAAGGAGCCGGCACCCGGGCACAGGCTTCACCCCCTGCCCAGACACATGCTTGGTGCCATGCAGGTGGCTGTGTCCCACAAAATCAGAGAGCAGGTAATGGATGGAGAAGGCAGCAAGAGCTTCTTTGAAACCCATCAGCCCACAGGATTTTTTTGTGGGGACCAGAGATACAGAGGGGTTTGTCAGCAGCTTGCTTTGCTGCACGACTAAGGACAGGCTTGGAGCTGCTCAGAGTCTCTGCTTTCTCTCATCCGCACGCATGGAATCTGTTTGGAAAGATTTTATATTCAAATAAAACCTTAAGGGAAAGTGGATGGGGCTTAGCACCAAAAAGACTGAAGAATGAAACAGACATTTATGCACCACAAAAGAGCAGAAACTGTCTCCAAACCCTCTGAGATGCCTGACACACAGAATCAGTCTTCTGTAAAGCATATCCAAGCACAAAATGACCCAGTCCTCTGGCTGTACTTACTTAGCCATCTGATGGCAAGTGCTATTGCATAAATCCACCTCAATTCCTGCAAGAGAAAACACAAACGTGACGTGGCATTTCCAGTACAGCACTCGCTGAGGATGTTTCTGCCATCTACAGCAAAGCTCCTTCCAAACATTCTCCCTGTCATGCTCACGCCCTGATTGGTGATGGGGCCTCAAAACTGCTAGGAACGAAGCAAGGACTGAAATCTTGTTATTCCTTTGGATTTGCTCCATTCAAAGTAAAACATGGTTTTCTTTTGTGTTTTACATTTGGATTAATAGGACAGCTCCACTCAGTTTCCATTTCTAAATGTTCCCTAAACATTTGATGTCACTACACACTCGAGCTTTGGGTGAATTCATTTAAAATCCCCCTATCCCTGTGATAATAATGATCCCAAATCCCAGAACAACCATCTTTGTCATACCACTATCACACAGTGACAGATTTGCTGAGAGCTGTAGACCATAGGCTGAGCTCACCTAAACCAATGAGCCCGTGAGCAATCCAGCAGACACACTGGGGCACTTTGGAAGTTTCAAATCAAGCACTGCCACTTTCTTAGGCAAGTAACAGGAGTCATGGCCAACCCAGAACAAATAACATTAAGGCTTATGTGCTGCTGGGGAAGTCACACCACAGATGTGCAAGCATGAATTAGCACAGCCTAACAAACCTTCTGGGGGATGCAAGCACACACAACTGTGGTCACCTTGTTCAGCCAACACAGAATTGCTCTAGCAGCTAAAGAGAATTACTCTGATTTCTCTGTCAAAACAGTGATGTTACACCACCAGACCCACCACATTCACGTACTTTCTTGGCAGCTTGGGCCCTTCCACCCAGGTAAGCAATCACAGCTCCCGTCCCCTTGCAGTCCATCGTTGCATATGCCATTGTCACAAGCACATTCTGTGGAGTAAGAATAGATGATCATCATTACCAAACCAGCCAGGTCTGAAAAGCAGAATCTCACTGCCACTTCAGTGTCTGCTCTATTCCTAATCCAGTGCCTCTAGCTGCCATATAGAAAACGCTACAGGAGCATTGGCTTTCGTTCCTTCACTGTCAGATCCCAGTGACCAGGAGCAGACCAGCTCTACTCCCTGCAGTTTGGGAAGCAGCAGGATGAGCAGCAGAGCAGTGGTTACTCCTTCAAGGATGAAAATGGGGCCACAAGATCACGAGCACTCATTCCCACAACCCTTCCTTGTCGGGCCACCAGCTGTGGGCCTGTTGTGCGGGTTGTGGGCCCGCTTTTCTCCCCTTGCGAGCAGAACATGAGTTGCAAAATAACTACTGCTGTCACCTGATTTGCAGTCAGCTCCATAGCGGCCCACTTCACACATTTCACAAGCAGTGCCGTGGAAACCTTCCAGGCATTGGCACTCCCCGCTGCCCTCGATGCCGTCCAGGCATTCCCCGTTCCCGGAGCACCACCGGCCTGGCTTTCCTGGGCACATCTCACACATGTGTCCGTAGTAGCCGGGGCAGCAGACAGACTTCTGGGAACCAACAAAAGCAGGTTGGGGTGAGCTGTCTGATGTAGCACAGATGTAGCATGTCCCCCAGGCTCGTGGCTTTATTGAGGAAGACACTCTGCTCCTTTAACTATGCAACAGACATCACTTGTGCCAACACATGAGAACAGCAGCTGTATGCACGTAGGGTGGAATGACCCCCCCAGAATGGGGCTCTCTGCTGCCCAGACCTCATGTGAAGGATGTATATGGCTGCTTGAGCAATGCTGGTCATTTGGTGACACAAACATCCAGCCCTATGCCCATCCAGCTCATCTCCTGCCTGCATTCCCTGCGTCCCATCAGTGTGAGACTGTGTTGAGCAGAAAGAGGTTCTGACAGAGAGTGCTTCGGTTCTGAAGCCTCATTTCACTGCTTTCTCTCTGCGTTCACCCACAGAGGGAGGCAACCACGATGGGACCTAGTTGGGAAATAGAAGTGAAGAGAAACATAATCCAGGGGAGAGGCAGAAGTGCCCAGAGGGGGCTGGGATGACTGAAGCTCTGGCTGTGGGCACGGTATTACCAACTGCCTTTGTCTCTTCCCAATTTTCCATTCCCACCAAACTTCCCAGGGAGTTGTTTCAGCAACCAAGAGAGGGGTCAAATTCACACAGGTCTTTCTTTTTACCATTTCCTCTTCAGGAATTTTCTCCCCATCTATGTTTTCACAGAACTGGTGAGGGCACAGTAATGGGGAAACCTGTTCCTCACTTTAGCTCCAATTACTCATCGGTTGTTCAGAAGGGCACATGCACAAGTCAAATACCACCAGTCATGCCTCATTTCCTTAGGAAATCTGACTATAAACATTCAACTCCTTCTTTTCCTCTACAGCAAAACCCAAGGTAACAATGAAAGAGCAGCAGACCACAGTCCCTCACTGCACAGACATTTCCGTTAGTTGTTCCCTCCGGTGCCCTCTATCTCCAGGATGGAGAGCAATGCCCAGACAAACCTGTCTCAGCTGTGCAGTGGCACACGTTCAGCCAGGATGTCAGTCCAGCACAGGCTGTTTCCACAGCTGTGTTTCTAATGCCCTACTTGCTTTTATTTGAAAACCAAACATTTTTTCTTACCAGAGAAACTTTTGCACAGATGAAATGGCAACCAATGTCCCCAGAGCGCAGATTACAGCGAGGGAGATTCTTGCTTCCTGGAAATTCCTGCCAATATAATTAATATAGATACATATAGCAAACATTGCAATAGACAGACTGTATCCATTCAGGTGCATACAGCAGCGCTCTTGCTTAACAGAGGAATGAAGCTTTTTACCCTCCAAGAACAGCCCTAAAATCTGGATACTGTGGGCTGACGGCAGCGAGCCATCTCTGGGCCTGGTGTGAGGTTGCCCACACGGCCTGCCTCGTTACCTGACAGATCTGTGGTATGCATGTCAACACGAATAACTGAGAAAAAGTGGTTGGCAAATTTTTGGCATAGAGTAATGAAGCCTAAAAATAATCAGATGTGGCATTTCACAGCCAGCAGAAAGATGAAACGGTGATTGTGTTCCTCCCTGTTTGTCACTCACTCACAAACAAGCTGCAGGTTCAACCAGCCAATCTCCATGAACACATCCACAGCCTAGGAAGCTGCTATTGGCACACCTGTCCTTGGAGATAACATCCAAAGAGGAAGAGATCAAAGAAGAAATCTGACTGTCGTCCCTACCAGGGGAAGCTCTCCACTGGTTTGAAGCTGCTTTGAAGTAGTCCTGAAATTCAGGCAAAGGCTCAGTGCCACCCCTGTAAGGAGTCTCACAGTTCACATTTGTGTTTTTTCCTGCATAAAATTCCCTTGGTTTCTGCTTTCTCTTTCAAGCTTTGCTAATTAACAAGCCACGGAGGACTCAAGGACAGAACTTTTCAGGTAATAAGATGACACCCGTGGAGTTATAAAAGGACATCAAAGCACTACCAGCAAACAGCCTGTGAGATGCCACATGAACTCACCACGAGAACTGATCCTGGAGGACACTTGATCCCCTTCTCACATTTGCCGCACCTTGACTAGGGCACAGAGAACAGGACAAGTCACATGTGTGCCCTCTGCCCGTGTAGCACCAAGGCACCTGCACTACAAATGGTGCTGAACAGGCTGCTGGCCGGGACAAAGATGCTTTCATCTCCATGACTCAAAACACTGAAAGAAGAAAAATCACAGTGCCGGTCCCCCTGCTCCTGGCTGCTGTCAAAGGCTCCACACAAGGTCTTATTTCTGCACTCTGGCAGTGAGACTGTACCACTAAACAAAGCTGAAAAGATAACACATCATCCCCCTCCCGACCCTCTCAGCTGAGGTAGGACTGTCTGCAACCTGAGGTTCCCGCATGCAGTTCTGCCTCATCTGACCCTACAATCTTCAGATGGCCAAAAGCCACAAGATAGACGGAGGTTGGACTTTGGTCGTGACTCCCATGCATTTTGTAGGGGAACTTGCAGCCAGCAAACTGGAAATCATCATTACCCTTTGTATAGTGGTGGTATTGGCAGTGCAACGATTCTTCTGTATCTGGAGGACCTGTGAAACCCCGATTAAAATGCCATTCCTCGTCTCAAAGACTTTTCCATCCAAAGGAATATTATTGACAAACTTCTGCAAAGGAGAAGGAAAGGACTGAGATGATAACCTTCAACTCTTTTGCATGGATTGCTTGATGACTGACAGACAGCCACAGTCTGGAAATGTAAGAGTATCCAAAACAGATATGGGGGCATCAGAGGCAGAAGAGCCTTCCCTCCTTACCTGGGTGCTGTTTTGATAAAACATTAACCAGTAGGAGAGCCCTAACATGCTGTTCTTATGGACTCCACTTCTCAAATCTGTCGGCAAGAGTTTCTCTCCCAGTACAGTGTGGAACTGCACTGTCTCATTGTCCTAAATCCACAAAACAAAAGAAAATGAAATAAAAAAACAAATGATAGGACTCTTGACTTCCTAGACTACCGTTCAGTCAAAGGTCTGGCATAAGAAGAGTTAATAAGCATTCTCTAGAGCTAATGAAGTCCACAGGGCATAGTAATTACTGATCACACCGTGATGGCTCTTTCACTGGATGAAGCCACAAAAGTTCTTCGGAGCCTTTCAAAAGGTATTAAATTGGCAGATACGTGCCATGGCCAGCCAGCATGCAGAATATCTTCTGCCATCCATCATATGCAAATTTATTCATAAGTTTGCATGTGGAGTCCCAGCAGGCTTTTCACATCCCGTTGTAACATCACAGGAAACCCTCCCTCTCATTTTTCTCTGCCACATTTCTCCTGGCTTATAGCATCAGATCCTCCTATCCATACTCAAATCTTTCTGAGCTCAAGTTTATGATCTGATAGTACAGATGCCCCTGCAAAAACCGCAGTACATGTTGGGCTACAAGCAAGCAGTGAGCTTACCAACTGTGTGACATTGGCAGCGTGGCAGTACTCCTCGATGGAATGGTTTCCAGGAACAAAGATTGTGTATTTTTCAGAGGACTCAATTTTTCCAATGAGCTGGTATTGCTAAAAAAGGCCACACATTGATATTAGCAATTACACCTGTACTTACTGAAGCCAGACTGCACGTGAAATCAATTACAAAGGCAAAAGCACTAGAGGAAATGCTTGAAAAATGGGGATACAACTTCTGTGCAGTCACGTGTGTCTAACTGCTTGCTCCCTCCCCAGGCTAACCAGAGCACACTTCCTTGATTATTAACAAGTCTACCTTTTCCTCGAGGTTTCTTTACCTCCTACAAGCATATGAGTGTCTGCAGTAGATTGGTCATCTTCCATTGTAATAAGATGATATAGGGACCTAGCTGTAAGTATAAGTCCTTTGACTGCTGAAAAGATCTTCTCTAGAAGATCACTTTGGGATGATTGGAAACAGATGGTCTTCCTTTACTCACCAGTTGGTCAAAGTTTAGGCCCACCTGCAAAGAGTGAGTTGGGAACTTGCTGACATCTGTTCTGACAACCACAACAGAGCTGCTTACCTCTAGCAGCTTCTTGAATGTGCTGAATGAGGCAACTGCATCGAGCTGTTCCTGCAGCCCTGGAGGACTGGGTGGGATGTCTTCTAAACGTGGCAACAAAACCTGCAGAAAAAAAACAAGCTCATCAGCAAGTTCGTGCAAGAGAGTCTGAGGGAAATAATTTCTGCCCCGCTTGCAAGAAAAGCAAGTAGACATTGTGCCTCATTTGGCACAATTCTGCAAGTCTTAACTCTTCTTCTTCTATAAGCCGAGAGAAGAGGAACTCCTTTCCCACTTGTCCCAGAGATATATACTTAAACACCAGTATACAGGAAACATCTGTCAGGACCTTGTGACAATCAAGAGTATTTTTGTCATTATTGTTCTAACTGTCCACATATATATTATTCCTTGCCTCCATCTCAAATGTTGCCAACACGAACTTGCTGCAAGTGTACTTCCTAGTGTGACATACACCAACATACCTTGCTGAGTATGTGAATGATGCCATTGCTGGCAGGGATGTCACTGACAACTAGACTTGCATTCTGAATGGTGAATACCTGCAAAATTATCAGAGAGAGGAGCAGAAGCATCAGAAATCGCCAGGCACATGCAAACCTGATACATTGTTCAAGGCTGCACACGATGAATCTGGGTGCAGTTTTTAGAAGATTCCTATGTTGGAATCCACCAGTGACCCAGCCATGTACTCCAGTGGTTACAGCAGTTCTTGGGAGATTTAATTTGATGCTGCACACGCTCATTATAGAAGAAACTCTTACACCACTCTCAGTGTTTATCTGCCATTTGGTCCGCGGGTTGAGGGTGGGTAATTCTGGCCTGTCGTACTTTCTGAGCTTTTCCTCAGTGAAGACACCTTCAAGAAAGTGGGCCCTGAAGGGAATGCAGGCAGATAAAGAAACGGTGAGGATGCTGTTCAGAACAACGTGAGATCAGGTCATCTCACCCACCATTCACACACCTCTCATATGAAGCAGGTAAGCACGTGGTTAGAATGACAAGGAATTACTTGGCCTTACACATCCTTATGACAGGGAAAATCTCTTCCTGCACATCCACTTCCAATTGCCTGAGCTCTGTTACATTCCAAATACATACTCTATTATTTGCCCACTATACATTTAACTATGTTTCTGTGTTTAGCTCTCCATAACTCTTTATTGAGCATGTACAGTTTTGTTACCATTGTCAGGCATAGGAAAGCAAAGGCAGGACTCTGCTCGTACCTGACTAAAAATGGCAGCATGTAGGGGGTCAGCCAGAAATCTTTCTCACTCTTGTTCAAGCTTTTGATAGCTTCCTCTGATGGCACCAGGACAGTGACATTGGTTCCTGCTGGGATGCTGAAGAGAGATTTCTGTTGTCGAAAGCACAAAGATGAACAAATAAGACGTGCCAGTGCCACATCTGTTCCATAAAATATAACCCACAGCCACCCTGCTTCTGCAGTCCTGTGGGATGGGCATGCAGAAAGACAGTGTTTGCAGAGCAGGCTCTCCTGCCATGTGGTACGAGAGCTGTTGGCAATCAAATGGGAGTTTAGCTGAAACACCTGACACCTGTTTGCCGAGGAGAAGTCTGCAACTTTAAGCTCTACTTTCACATTTCAATTACTTTTCAAATCCCTTCAATCAAATCCATAAATTCTTTCTGAACACTGAGCACTACTTTTATAGGAAGGACCGAAATTATCCCTCCCTAAAGCTGTGCGTACGGCTGAACAAAGGCTCAGTGAGATGCCATACATCACTGTCTTTTCACAGCCTTACTCCATCATAAAATCCAAAGTTCTTACCTTAACCCAGTCATAGAAACCTGCAAAGTGGGAACTCCTGGCCAGCTCCTTCCAAAGAGAAACAAAAGAAGGGTTACCTCAACTGAGCACCAGGGCTGCTGGACTGGGAGTCCCACAGCAGGGGACAGGAGCCCATCCATCAGTAGTGACTTTGGCATTCCTTTTCCACCTCACAACCATAACTGCACCTTGTATCATAAGGAGGGATGGGTGCTCTTGAGGCCAAACTCCAGCCATTAAAAATATGTGTATTTTACCCATTAAAAAATATATATACCTAAATAAGTTATTTTCACGTTGTCTGCAATTGCTGCTGTTTACCAGGGACAGGGATTGAATCCACAATGGACTTTGATATTTCTAGTGGCAGAAAATAGGCCTAGCTAACTCCGAACTGAAAAATTTTCCAATAGAGAGTACTGCATAGGACAGACAGGGGTAAAACAGCCTGGAAAGTACTGTCAATGATTTATTGAACACCTCAGCCTTGGTATTACTAGTGCTTCTGTGGTCTTAGGCAAAAGTAAACTGCGTTGTCTGGCACTGGGAGAAGTCAGCTTCAGTCAACAGAAAAGAGAGAGGGGAGAGAGCCATTTCTCGCTGACCTCAACAAGACCTCTGATACTTATTCTTTACTCACTTTCAGAACATCCCCATAGCATGTCATGCCATCTCCAACATAGCCTTCAGGGCAGGCACAAGACCTCTCCCCTCCTCCAAGGGGTACACACATGGCCTGCAAACACAACAGAAGGAGAAATTGGAGAGCAAACACAGGTTATGAAGTGTTACACTGACCTAGGAATCAAACACTGGCCTCCCACACCTGGGCTAAAGGAGCACCCACAAACATATTCCTCCTCTTGCCTTCACATGCCACTGAATTTATACCTTACACAGCAAGGCCTAGTTGATTGCTTTGTGTTGCGTACTCACAGAAATCAGAGGATCTCCCTAGGTAGATCAGAGATCAAAAAATCTTTATAACCTCAGAGGCATGCCAGTAGGATGATGCAACATCAACTCCTGCAATACTCTGGGTGCCATGGCTGGAAACAGCTGTGACAGAGAACCAGAGGAACCTCCATTGCCATGCCAGCCTCTTCAGCTACTCACCAGGTCATGGCAGCCGCCGTTGTCCAGGAGACATGGGTTGATTGCATTGCAGTTGTGGCCATCACCAGCATAACCTCTCTTGCAGACACACTTACTCTGCAGGAAAGAGACATTTCAGATCTATCAGAGCATCTTCGTTTGCAACCCAAAACAGTTATTAGGCAGCAAAATCTATTCTTAATTGATTTTACCTAGTTTTCTTCCTCAAGAGCTGAAAATGCAGAGATAGTTCCTTAGCAAGGCATCATACTCTACTACAGCACGCATGCTGCATGATTACTCAAGTGCACTGATCTGTTGCACTGCTTGGCAGTGAGAGGGACATTTGGGAATTACAGTTTCCATCTGTTTCCAGCTTTTCAGAGAACAACACAGACTTTGCGAACAGAATGAGAAGAGAGTTCATTTCAAAGCTTCCTGCGTATGAGGCAGCTGGAAAAGTTATGTTCTGCTGAAGATCTGGCACCATTTCTGAGCCTGTGGTCCAATGCTCCCTTTGCTCAGTGGGGAAAAGCATCAACCAGTTTGAGAAACAAGCTTCCTTCCCACATAACCTTCTCCAACCTCAAAGATGCCCTATCTGACTTTCCAAACAGCCACGTGGGATATTCTGTACGTCTTAGCACTGCCTAGAGACAATGCTGAGATCTGGGAACAAGTCGGGCACAGCAACCAATGCCTTGTTGTGAAGTTGTAGTCCCTTCCCTTAGCTGCACAGAAGCATCAGAGTAGTATAGCAGCCTCAAAAATACCAGTGCCCCCCCCCGCACCAAGTACCCTGTGAGGGCCTAGCAGGAGCTGTGTTTCTGGCAGCAAACAATCAGGCTTTGCTGATGGCCAGCCCAGTTTCTATCTTCAGCGATCCCACAGCTTAGGAATCATGCAGGTCCACCATCAGTCTGCTTAGCATAGCCCATACCTGACCAGGGCCGATATAAATGCAGTCAGCATTGATGTGACAGTTCCCTCTGCTCTCCTGCATGCAGTTGTCTATGGCCACACAGGCCTTCCCGTCTCCAGTCCAGCCCACGTTGCACTGGCAGGTGGCATTGCCTGGGCCAGTACTGGTGCACAGGGCCTGCAGGAGAAGGGAGAGAAAAGCATTGCACTCAGCAGAGGAGAGGAAGGAATGCTGTGCAGGTGCAGAGACGAATCTCCTTCATCAGACTGAGGAGAGTTTCTGAATGATCAGCTCTGATTGCAGCATCGGGGACGGGGGCTGGAAGCATCTTGTTCAGAAATGGCCTAGAGGATACCATCATAGTGATCCTGGAAACATTCCGTGTTTTCAGAAAGGTGGACACTTGTGTTTAAGGTGGCTCAGAACTCCTGGGGCATTCCCTGTCACCCCCAAAAGCTCTCCATTACAGAAAAAATATTCCCTGAAGAGGAGGAGTGCAATTTTCTGCCCAGACATGGAGGCAACAATGATTGCAGCTCTCTGTCTGCAAAGATTTACCGTATACCCAGTGCCATCCTATTTCCTTCTATGCTTTCCTCTCACTGAGGGATCAAAATCACAGAGAGATCTGAGCATTTGGTGGTTGCTTCCACTGTGCAGAACCACAGCTCTTTACTAAGGATGTAGTTTTGGAGGTTACTAGAAATATGAGTTGGAACTCACAGCCAAGCTACAGCCTGAGCTACAAGCTACAGCACATTAAGAGAGCATGAGGGGAAAAGGAATGCAAAACAAAAACCTGTGCAGCTTATTTCTGTGGCTGCCAACACATTTGGACAACCAGCCAACTCATCCCTGGGGTGTTGCATTTGGCTACCAACCAAATGACTGATCTCCTTACAATGATTGTCTTGAGGTAGCTGTTATTATGCCCCACCTTACAGATAAGGAAAGATAGGCACAAGACCAGTGCCCAACAAATCTGAGAGTCCTGGATCTCTGCTCTGACTGTTCAGTGCTCTTTCTGCACACTTTGGTAGTCCAACCCCACTTACATTCAAAGAACAGCCTCCTCGTTCTGGTCGACTGCACAGATCAATGGGCTGGCAGGAAAACCCATCACCTTCATATCCATCCCTGCAGATACACCTTAAAATATAAGGACAAAAGATAGTACAACCCCTTCTTAAGGCAGCAGAGAGCAAATTTGAGCCTTGCAAAAAAGCAAGAACCTGATCTCTAATGTCACAGGTTGGCTGCATCACTTGAGCAATTCTGTGCAACAAGTACACAAAGATACACACAATTGCAGGGTTGGCAGACTCACAGCCACTGTACATACAATGACAACATGCCCACCTGAATGTGTGTGCCAGAAGGACTGACCTTGCTGTGTCATTGAGGCTGCAGACAGCATTCTGATGGCAGTACTGGGACAGCCCACTCGGGCCACAGTTCTTGGAGGTCTTGTCACAGAATTTTCCAGTATAGCCTTCCTTACAGGACCAGGACTGACACACACCCCCACTGCCAGGCCTGTTGTCACACACCCCATGGACACAGCCACAATCTGTCAAGAAAGATCAGACCTGAAGCCACCACACCAGTGGGGTTTTGTAGATTCTCATCTTTCCTTCACAGTCCCCTGTGACATCACATGATCATCCCAGTTCTTAACAGAGGGATGCCAGCTGAGAGACATTCACCAAAACATGGCTAGGGAGCAGACACTGGGACTGCCTGGCTCCAAGAGGCTTCTAAAGACAGGCTCAAACTTAGATCATCAAACACAAGGCCCTTGTTAAGTGGGAAATGAAAATGCCTTTTCTTTTTAACAGGAGAGATATGCACCAAAGTTGCACACCTACATTTGTCCGGTTTCCAAGACCTGTATTACTACTGTCATATTAGCCATGTTTTCTCTACTGCTGTCTGATGGGACACTTGCAATGACATTTCCATCCCTTATTTCACAGCACTGGTCTTGCACGAGGGGAACCCTGGATACACAAACCTGCTCTGTACCTTTGCCCTACATTTTGCTGTAGTCTCTCTCACAGAACCACCAACCTTCATCGCAGTTCTCGCCATGTTTGTTTGGGTTTGAACAGATGTGGCAGGCTATTCCTTTGAAACCTTCAAAGCACTGGCAGTTGCCATTCCCATCTATGCCATCACTGCACTGGAAAGAAACAAAATGCAAAAGACACAGAAACTCAGCAAACGAAGGGAAAGCCAAGGTATTGATATTTATCAAAAGCCCTTTTGACAGTTGCAGTAAAAAACAGGACTTTGGAGAGTAATGGTAGTAATACAAAATCCCACTTAGTCAGGGCTGCCTTCAAAAGCCACGACAGGATTCACATTAGAGCTGAAAAGCTAAAGCCCACTGATGAGTACGTGCCATCTTCCTTGGATGTTCTGTAGCCAATGCTTTGGGCTCAAGCCTGGAGCACAAACCCAGAATTACACTTACCTAGAACAACTGTTACCATAAAGAAAAAATACCCTATATTCCAAAAGAAATAAGCAAACTGCTCTTTCTAACCACCCTGACTCAACTTCTCACTGCAGCACAGCAGGATCTTTCATACTTACGTTTCCCCGGCCATAGCATGGGTTAGTGTATCCCCCTGGGCACGGCGTGCAGTCTGGACCAAAGAATCCTTCACAGCACCCAGGTTTCTGAGACAAAAGCAAAATCCTTAAAGCACCGAGTGACATAGAATACATTGCCTGGAGTTGTCCTGCTCTCACAGTTCCAAAATCCTTCCTGTGATCACAGGCTATGCTGAAATAGACCGCCTCGTTTGTTGTCTGCGCTTCTAAAAACAACCCTACTTAGAACTGTTACCATACTTACAACCATTTAGATTGAAAAAGACCTTTAAGATCAAGTCCAAACATAAAATTTAGCTCTAATTCTGAAAATGTTTTCCACAGATTCCTCTCTTTCTGACTGCAGCCAGTTCTTTTCAATATAAACCACTACTTTCTAATTGTTTTTTGTTTCATTTTTTTATGGCTTTTTTACGCCCACGTTTCTCTTTATTTCACTAATAATACTGTCCCACTTGCTCCTCATTAATCATCGCTCGGTACTTCTCTGGGAGAGAGGTAGCAGTCCTGGATTGCAAACCTTGTTGCAATGACCAACAAAAGAGGAATCACAAGACAAACATCTGCCCGCTGTTCAATGAGACACCCGCAAATCTTTCTGTATAGTTGGCACTGGGACAGCTCAAGATCTGCAGTCAAACTTGAGGTCTGTAAACTCTACAAGACCACTTTTTTGACCCATCTGACAGTGCTTCATAAACAGGATGCAATCACTTCACAGCCTATGGCACTTTCACTGGGCTCTGCTTCCTCTGGGAGACGTGGTTAAAACTCAGAGAACACAGCATCATTTGTCCATGGCTCCCTCTGTCTTGGCTGGTTGAAACTGATGCACAGTACATTTATTTAACGTACTGGAGCTGAACTGAGCTGCTTTCTGATGTTCATAGCAGGCTAGTGCTGTGTTCTTCTCCCTGCCTACCGAAGAAGGGTGGGCAGCCAACCCACCTGCTGGGCCTAGGGACAGACCTTTGCATGGGACGGCCCTCCCTTGGCTCCCACCCCATCCTCGCTCAACTCAAGGAGCTGGACATCTTCTCCATGGATCAGGCAAAGCGAAGTTAAGCTCCTTTCAAAGGGGTACAGCCTTCCATCACACTCACCACAATGGTCTGATTGCAGTACCGGGCACAGCCCCTCTTCAGGACATTCAGTCCTTGTGGATCATGGACGTAGACACATTCTTTTGGGAATGGTGTTAGTTCCTGTAGAAACAAGTCAAGTCAGTGCTGCCTGGTTGTATCTGCGTGGTAACCTTCCCCTCTGCTCTTTTTGCCGCAGATAGCAACTGTGTCTGACCCCGAGCTAAGGAAGTTCACAAAGGAGCCAAGGTGAACACGATCCCAGTACAAAAGATCCCAGAACATGAGCCCAGCACGAAAGGAGGCTTCCTTTCACTGCCCTTTTGTTCTAACAACTGTATGTGTGATAAAGAAGGGAGCACAAGCAGGGGGAAAGGATGGGGAGAGAGGAAATGGGTGGGGGAGAAAGAGAGGGAATGAAGTGGGGGAGAAATAAGAGGGTAAGAAAGAGGTTGGGGAAATGAGGGAAGAGGAGGTGAAAGGCAAGGGAAAAGAGTTCGGAAGAGGGAGAGAGGGAATGACAGAGGGTGAGAATGGGAAAGAAAGGGAGGGGAGGGGAGTGAGATGACCATAGGTGTCAAGGTGAGACAGAGGGATGGGGAATGGAAAGGACTGCAAATAACGTCTGCCTAAATACCCCAGGAGTTACACACAGGCATTGGGCCCAGCATGATTCTGCCACACCTGCCTCAACCTGAGGAAAAAGTGGATGTAGATTTTGCAGAGCTCCACTTCCTACATTCATGGGACACTGGGCAACCTGGCCTAGTACCAGATCTGGAGGGTGGTGGCCCTGCCTGTGGCAGGGGGTTGGAACTCGGGGATCTTTGGGGTCCCTTCCAGCCCAAGCCATTCTATGATTCATGCTGACACAGCACAAGCAAGCAATCCCAACATGCAGAGCCAACAGAAGACACGTGACAATTAACAGTGGTGCACACCTGTCTGACTTTCACAGCAATGACTCAGGCCTGGCCTTCAGAAAGGAATTTCCTGGAAGCTGCTGTTCTGCAGAACCCAGCGTGGGATGAGCCTTAACGCCAGCACCCTGCCTGCTCCTCCTTACTCCACCTTCACCTAATTCTGCTCATTCTGAATCAATAGTGAGCACAGGCCAAGGATAAATTGTTTCTCACTCTCTGCAGTGAATAAAGCTTGCTGTGATTCCCTCGCCATGGCTGTGGTGGACATGGATCCTCTAACAAGTCATGCTGTTCTCCTCTACCAGCTGACTTTCCTGCACTGCGTTTGTTTGAAAATGCTTTGAGTTTGCAATTATCTGTCACAGTGTGCTTGTATGTCACCATGCAAAGAAATACCCAGAAATAATCACCATTTCTCTGCTGCCAGGTGGGCAAACACTGCTGTTGAGAGCCTCACAATCCACACAAGAGCCCTGTTAAGAAAACAAGAGTGGAAATCTTCATCTTCCCAGTGAACCCCCTCCCCGTTCCAAGAATGACACAGAGTACCATTTCCACTGTATATCCAAAACATCATGTGTCAGAAGCATTCTTAGGAGAGAATTTCCACACTCTGAAACAGGGTAAGTTTATTGCTCAAATCAAATGGCTCTATAGTTACGATTTTGCATCTGACTCCACCCTGTGAGCCATGAGACACACAGCTATGCAATAAAACACTTTGGGCATCCACGTGGCAACCTCAAAGTGATATCGATCCTCTGGTCAGTTCAGATAATTCACATTGCTCCAAATCAGACACTTTTTCCCTAGTCAGAGCTGTATTTCTGTAGTAACATATCAATCATCAATTTGGGGAACGTGCACCTAAAGTAATGCACACAAAACTCTTTATGTGAGAATACCATACACTGTTTGCGCTTCCACTACCAAATGGCTGTTCCCCATACACAATGACAGGAGGCCAATGCCAATGGTAATGGGAACAAAGCATTCCCAGCTGGATTAGTAACTCTGGTATGGAGAGTGTAAGGCCTTAAAGGTAGGATGAAAGGAAAAGAAAGACTAAAAGAAAACAGCCGGTTGCCAACAAAGCAGGGCGAAGTGACACTGCCCAGGTGTAATTTACACATTCTGCTTCTGTTCCTCCAGGTGAGTGTGGGGTCTACAGCAATGGCTAAGATGAGGATGGGCCAAGTTGACTTACAGTCACAATTTTGTGTTGTTCTTCGTTGCATCTGTGAGGCAAAATGGGAATTATTGAAGGAGGGATGAAGATGCCGTCCACGGTATGAATAATGCCATTTGATGCCACAATGTTTCTCATGTTTAAGGGGATCTCTGAGTTATCCATCACAATTCTTCCCTGATGTGGAAACACAAATAATTTATCAGAATGTTATCCCATTAGAGTGTATTAACTATGTAACACCAAAGCAGGAAAGAGATGGCATCAAGTGCAACCACACACAGTCAAGCCATCCAGTGAAGTCACTAGTTGGATAAGAAGGAAAAATAATTCAGTGACCCCATTTAAGTCTATTTTTAAGGCATAGGAGGAAATGGAGATAGGCTGAAAACTCACTATTTAGAACCTTAAGACTTTTTCTTAGAACAGGAGGTTTGCCTGAGTGGGTTTTGACCCATACTTACATCTGCACTGATGTTGACAGACAGTATCTGGTTAGCCATTGTAACGATGTGCGGCGTCATCATCAGTTTCTCCACAGTTATCTGAAAAAAAACCACCAATGCCACGGAGGGACAGCATCATGAATAAGCAGAGCTTTAGTACAGCTTATGGAGTTCTGTCAGAATTTCCTCCACCTAAAAATACTTCTGAAGATTTAGACTTTACCATTTACATTTAATGAAATATCTCAAACACACACAATTGCCCAAAGGGAAATCGAGGACTTGGTGTGAATCATTTGCAATACAAAATCCACAGCAGTGGTTTTCATTCCTTGTGTCCAGCATATCTGAAATCAAGTTTCTATTAGTAGTGTTTCCTGTTGATACAGGTATACAGGGCATATTGAATGAACAAGTAAAGCAGAAGCATAGTAGGTAATTTGTTCTGATCTAATAAAAAAGCTTATTTCTAAAGGCAGAGGAAATGTAAACTGCAGTTACTGCACAGAAACTTGAACGTAAGGGTTTGACAGAAATTCTAAAAGCTATGATAATCACTACTTTTGTGCCCAACAATTTATTAAGATAACTAGTTCAGCTTGTTGCTGATGATGTCATTCATCAGCTGCAAGGAAAACTGTGCTTTGCTGTTTTGCCAAAGTGATGCTTGTTTTCTGTGTAGGAATTAGGAAAATTCTAAGGACTGACATTCCTCCTCAGCAAAAGACTGGCATAACATTGATATGCGATTAGAATACTGCACGATGATGCTGGAGTGCACACAAAACCTTCAGTGTAAGTTAATAATTTTAAACATTTATCTTGCTCATTGCATAAGTGAAGAAGTCTTGTTAATGCATGCATTAATTTTATTTACCCTGCCACACAGCAACGTGGTGCCAGCACACAGCATAGGCTCACTCACAACAGTTTTCCATCACTAACCACCAATGGGGCCCAAGCAGAAGGGAAAGGGAGCAGTGTCATGATGGAAGTGCACCAGTCTTTGGGCAACTACTTTCATGGTAAATATCTTGCCTCCATTGCAATACTGCAACCTTCATGCCAAACAACATAGGTGGCCCAAAGGGCTCCAATTATCTAGGATTAGTGCTGCCTGCCTTACCGCTGCTGAAGGGTAGATATGGTGTTTCACAAGTTCCTGGAGCTTATTTATGCCCTAAGGAAAGAAGAGAGCATAACAGTTGGACAGTCCTTCAATGCTCAGGAGTGAGAAGAGGCAATTACATTTTCTTTTAACAAATGACTGAAAATGCCAAAATGACTGAAGTTGCCAGCAGCAACTTCACTCGGAAAATAAATCCCTTCATATTCCCCTACACAAAGAGGGGAAGAAAACCCAAAACCAGACTTAAACAATCTGGCTAAATATCATCACGGGTTCCACCAGCATTCAGTTGTCTCCCAAAGCCTCACAGAAAGAGAGACATGGATTAGCCAGCTGCAGGAAAAACAACTCGCAGCAGTGACCAGACACCTTGCACAAGCTATGCCAGCACAGCCCCCTGCAACACACCTCGTTCAACATGTGTTAGAGGATTACGAGCCCTCACCTCTGTGAAAAGATAAATGAGCCTTCCATCTCTTAATTTATCCACGCCATCATTGCTGGGTACAAACACAGTAAAGGGGCCTGGCCCGTCCAGTATTGCTGGCAGGCCACAGTTCTGCAAAAATAATAAAAGACTTCATCAATGGACACAACGTGAGTTAGCAAGGGAGATCCATCTGAAAGGGAGGGGAAACTGTAAGCAACCCACCAGGTGTAGAGATTGGAAAGCTGGTGTGGACAAGAGACAAGGCTTGTGTTAAGCAGATGTAAATGCCATAAAAACAGGCTGAGCAGTGCAGTCACTGGTGTGAGTGCAGCTGTGTGAAAAAGAGCACTGAACTAACACTCCCTGTGCTTTAAGTACAGATACTAAACTGGTACCTTTTTGCTGTGGAAGAAGAAAAAGAGAGAAAGCTTATAATCACAGTTGAACTTAGTCAATTTTGTGTTAATATTGTAAAAATATTAGCTAAATGAAGACTGGGCAGCAGCTTCAAACGTTTATAACCTGAGGACTGTATTTACATAGACATCTACACCAGGCCAACAGGCAGCTTCAGCCCATCTCGACATGGGCAGGCATGTAACATTTGCTCTTTTACAGGTACGATGGTCAAGAACTAATCATGATTTGAAGATGGGAAGGTGGGGAAGAAAGTGGTAAAGACACTTGTATGCTTGCTGCCTGTGCTGATGTTTCCATTACATATGCATAGAAAATAATCAAAATAAGAAGTGAGTCAGACAAAAGCATCCAGAAAGACAAGTAACTGAGATGCATTTAAATGTTACCCCAAATTCCCACGAAAGCACTAGCAGGCAGTGCACAGCAGCAATGCCACATCTTCCTGGGGCAGACAGAAACATGCTTACCTCCAGTATAGTTTCAAATCGACTGAAGATCTCTGTGGAAGCAAGGATCTCCCCAATGGTTTTCTGTGAGAAGATTCAAAGAGTGAGAAAAGTGACCAGGGTTGCAGCAAAGTCTGAGCACAAACTGGAATGCCAGCTGCTACTTAAGGATTGGCATGCTTCAAGTCTACAGAAAGCCTCAGTGGATTCAGACATTTTTTTTTTGGCCAGTGAGCCAAGCAAGGACTGAGTCTACAGCAGCTTAGACACAGACTTGTTGTCATGTGCAGCAAACCAGAGTTTCTATGCACTTGAGCACTCTTTTGTTTTCTGACTCCCAACTGCAGATGAAACCTGTAGTTGTGCAGAACTGGGCTGGTAAACTGAGGATCTGCTCTATCATCCCAAACCTCTTCTGATTTGGGGGCAAGAGTTCATTTTGCCACCTGCAAACAAGCCCCAGTACTGAGAAAATACAGTCCATATGCATACACCTGACATCACATTGGAAGTAGAAGCCTTCAGGGAGATTCTTGCTGTCTTGCCTTCCCTGAGCAAGCTGCCTCTGGATGTACTTGGATGCTGCTGGTTTCCACCAGCCCCCTGCTCACACCCTGACCCAAAGCAGCTTCTGGCATCCCCTGGTGCCACGCACCTCCCTGCGCGCTCCTCTTGGACTGCAGATGAGGATCACCATTTGTAGGACAAAAAAAAATTGTGCCATCTTCTTAAAGGTTGTTGGTGGTTTTTTTTCAGCCATCACAATTCGAGCATGTCCATCAGCAGTGTTGTGACAGCCACCATTGTGCTGAGTACCCAAAACTTAGAGAAATTCATAAAGCCTGCTCAGCCCGCAGCCACAGTAGATGCAAACCCTCCTCTGCAGACGCTGAGCTCAGCCCCACGACCCCTCTGGATTTCAGACAGCCCTTTTTGGAAGACATCCTCATGCAGGTGGTAAGACTGTGAGCACCTTCAGTTCATCAGCAATGGGCACTTTTAAGTCCACATATACACCCAAAACTTATGCCACTGACAACCATCCTCAGGGCACTTCAGCTCGGCAACTACTAATGCTTAACACAGTATTCTATCTACTTTTTAAACACAAGATATCACAGAATTCAACCATTTTTACAGATTAATGACAGTGGTGCAAACAACCAAATCAAAGAACTCATGTCATTCTATGTGATTTTTTTAAATTTTTTTTGCAACAAGCCAGTAGGTACCAGGGCCTTTTTTCTGCATATAGAAACAAGATGAAAGTGCTCAGACATAACAGTGAAGGAGCTACAGCAAAAAGTTTTCCCAGTTACAGGAAAATGTGCTCAGCAGAAGCAGAGACTGAACCTATAACTCCTAAATCCCTGCCCAGTGTCAAAACACAAGACACTACTTCAAATTGCAATGGTCTGTAATGATGATTTGTCTTCATTTTACGTACTTTTAATGCAAAGTTAACATTTCTGAATATAATTTCAAAATGCAGTACAGCCCTTAGAAAGTAAATCTTAATTTCAACTTTATATGCTTTATATTTTTCAGTATTTATGCCATTACTCTCCTGTAAGGTACAACAGCAAAAGAGCCTATTTGCTATGAAGGGAGGGACCTTACTCATGAAATAAGAGCTCTACTTATCCAAGCACTGCATCACTGCAAAGACCGTATCTGGCTTGTGCTGTGCTGTTAGCTACTTTTAAAGGTATGTTTATCTGGAGTTGAAAACAAAATGAACAGCCTTTTTCCTTTAAAAATACCTCGACTAAAGGATCGCAGCCTTGGAAATTGATATTTTTAAAGCATTTATTCTACCATACTGTAAAACAGAAGAAGTAGAAACGAGTGCATACCTGTGGGTTTCCAATGTTGTCAGCAGTACTTTTTTTCCTTAGGGTGTCAACAATATGTATAATACCATTGGCTGCTGGGAGATTTGAGTTCAGAACATTGTACAGCTCCCCTGGCACATCTTGGTATCGAAATGATTTGCTGTGTCCCTGGGTAACATTGCAAGGTTATTTTCATGTATATGTTCAAGGGATCACAACAGATCTGTATAATCATTGGGTTAGCAAAGTGAAGACACAATTGGGTTTACTCTGGAAAAAGTAAATATAAGGGATGCCCTCAGTGCAGAACAAACATCTCACTCCTACATGAGTGTGGGCAGTATGTCCATCCTGGAGTATTCTGAAACCTTATCAGAGAAAGAAGACCTAATCTGGGATAGTCATCTCTAGATTCAGGTCTGTGTGAGCGTGAATGCTTCTCCCAGCTGTGGAACATGGCAGGGTGCCTCGATCACCAACCTGCTGTGCTGAGCTGCCAAGCACAGAGAGGCATGCTGCCTCCTGGGCACCCAGACACAGCATTTGGAAGCAGTCCTGAAACTACAGCTCTGATTGAAGCTTTTATCAGCTCCTAAAGCAGCAAGGTGTTCCATGACAAAGCCCAAACAGTCAGGCTCTCTAAATTATAAGGTGTGCGTCTGGTCCTTCCATACTGTGCACAATCCTGCACTGAAGGTGGGTGAACAGAGGTGCACCTTTAAAGTGAGCCCCAAGGTATTGGTGCTTGTACCCCAAGTACAAGTATTGTACCCCAAGGTACAAGGTATTGGTGCAGCCATAACCCGGGTACAGGCATGCACAGCTTCTCTGTGCTCTTTCTGAACTTTTCCTCCCTGACCTTCACTTCAGTTCACATCTCTGGGAACAGCTGAAACAAAGGCTTCCTGGATCAAAAGGCTCCTGAGTAAACAAACAGGAAAGAAATGTATGAAGACCATTGATAAGTCCTGTTCAGATGCCCCAGCTCCAAATAACGCTTTGTACTTTCGGTGCAGGCAGGGTGCATGTATTACAACCCAGACCCTGAGGCCAAGGCTGGATCCTCAGAGAGGAAATGTCCAGCTCTGCCTCGGCCAGCTGTGGACGAGCATACCGGAAATGTGCAGGATGGAGAGAGAACAGTGGATGCTGGAAAACATGAGTCAGTTGAAAAGGAGAAAAGGAACAAACTGGGTAATTGGAAGAGGAGATAGTCAGCATGTAGCTGTGTCTGAGAACATGAGCTCCAAGGAGAAGCATTCAGCCCAAAGGGTGACTGCTGCAAAATACTGCAGTTGGTAACATTGCAGGGAAAAGCTTTCTTCTCCAGAATGCATATGCAGACTGCAGAAACATCTTTACCAGGTTTAGGAGTCAGGCTCTGCCTAACTTGTTGTTTGCAGAAACATCTGCTTGTCAGCCCTTAAAACATCTTGCTTTGGATCTCACAAAGGATCTTTCTGAGGGACAGCAGCATTACGCCTGTACAACAACAAGCTGATAAAAGAGCATCCTCTAGAACAGGAACAACTGGAAACCACTTCGATACAGACTCTTGCTAAGCAAGAACAATTACAACTTTTCAGCCTTTTCTTCCCATCTGCATACTTTTTTTTTTGCCCCAGGACTATCAGGATACATCAGGACAGTCTGCCTCTGACAGCTTGATCCACAACCGACCAAGCAGATGTGTTCAGATGTGCATCCACCTTAAAACTCAAAAACGACTTTGCTTCTCCAGGCTAAAGAAATGCAAGCAGTTTCACACCACACCTGTGTGCACATCTCAAGTGGATGGTAAGAGCCAAGGAGCAGAGAAGTGACTATTTTTAACTAGACATAAAGATACAGGAGAAGTATCCAAAGAAGACTTTTGTCCTGATAAGTACATTATAACCTAAGAAATCTGTGACATCCCCATCTCTCAAAACTTCATTATTCTCTGTAAGAAGTGAAAATGAAAAACTGTTGTGATCACAGGCATGCTGATTGGAGAAAAACAGTTTTCTCATTAAGAAAGGACATTGAGGAAACGATGTGCCCAAACTCTGGTCAGTCCAACACAAAAACAGCAGTCCTGGACTTCAGGAGTTCCTTTACCTGGTTACTGAATGTCAGCTGATGTCCTGACAAGGTCCACATAGCCTTGGCTTTAACCATGTCTTCTATCAAATGCAGACCAGGAACAATGTGCATCCTGCACAGATCTGCAGCAGCGGTGCCCTGTGGGGAGTAAAGGGCACACAGAGAAGGGAAACCGTACGCCCTTTCAAAAACTTCATTTAATTAAAGAGCCCTAACACTACTATAACAAAAAAGCTTTGCATATAACATTGAGCTTCCCTCTTCATTTTGCATCACTGGAGAAGCAAACACAGAGAGGTTGATTCATTTGAGAGTGATTTTAGAAGAATCCCTGAAGAGAAACCTATGGGACCTGGGTAGTTTTAAAACTATTCCCGCATGGCCAAGATTACAAGACTTGCCTAAAGCTCTGCACACACAGTCTCTGTTTATGTTGGTCCATACAGGTGGCCTAATCTGCTGACTTTACCTTTGGTTTCTTCCTTTGTTTTCAGGGTTTTCCATCACTAGTGATTTCTAAAGACAATCAGCTGTGGATACTGACTGAGGTGGGACTAATCCTTCAGGAGCAGGTAGACTAGAAGGGTCTGTCTTCATCTATTTTCTACGATTACAGGAATTGCCACTATGGCCTCAGCACAGGATGGACTTGTGCTAGTAGAAAGCTCTGCTCAACAAGGTATTAAGCAACTGCACAAAAACTACTGCAATGAACAGAATTTAATTAAAATTAATAAAATCGTAACGTGACCCACAGGATCTTCTTGAAGCCCAGAACTCTAACTCTTGTCCCTGCTCCCATAGGAGTTTTCTCTAGTCTTGTCATCTTTGCTTTCCCTATTAGTAAGATGAACTCCTCCTGAGAAGCTGACGCTGTACTCATACCTAGGGCCATACCAAGGAACTGCCCCACATCCAACGCCTTGATGCAGATCTCTGAACCTTCTGAAAACCCCACACTAAAGCAGTTAAAAGCCACATAAATGTTTGAGAATGGTCACACAGGGAAGGTTGGAGCTTTAAATAAGCACGACCAGAAGAACTGAAACTTTTTGAAGTTACAGCTCCTGACGTTAAAAACAAAGGACTGTCAATAATGAAGGCACAGACAGGGGTTTTAAAAATAATGCCAGGGACGTGACATCCTCTGTGAGACTGCAGCTGAACAAGACAAAAAGCAGTCCTTACAAGGGATTGCTTCTCTTAATACTCTCTCATTTGTCATCAGTTTTTACAGGTTGCAGAACTCGGGCAGGAAGAAATTTTAAGACAGCAAACATTTGCTAAAAGCAAGCAAACTTACGTTTAATTCCATTTTGTTATTAATTGGAAGAAGGGAAGGTACGAAGACAGTGAAAGGCCCATATTTAGTCAGCAACACTGAACAACCAGAAACTGCAAAGAGTGACAACGCAGCAAAGTTACTCAGAAGTTACACAACTCCAGCCATAATTATTCTTCATGTTAACAGCACTGCTCAATCTGCACATTTTCAGCAGCAGGCATGTAACTAGTACTTGCTTACACAGAACTAAAGGCAGCTTGGTACTGCTACCTTCTCACAGCTCAGCATGTGGCTATTCATTTTAAGCATCTGACCACAAGATTGCTGAAGTCCTGCTGTGCTGGAGTTAGGAACCCAGAGCTCATAGTGCTCATACTGCAGATCAGTGTGGAAAATACACTTAAAAACAAGTATTGGCAGCTCTGGAATATAAGAGGGAGAAAATCCCATGATAGCTGAAGCTGAGCCTGCAGGTGACACTGAGGTGGAGACACTGCTGAGACACTGCAGGTGGAGGCGCGCTGCAGGCTTGAGGGAAACAGGTTTGACTCACAGCCCAGAGCAAGTTCTCCTTCTTTTTTCACCTGGGCTGTCAAATAACTGACACATCCACACCATTCTTTGCAGGTACCTCCTCAGTTCACAAGCCAAAACTGGTAATGTGGGTTGAGTTCTGAGATGCAGTGCATTTAATTTTGCAGGCCGTGAGCATGCACTGCCAAAGTCCTGTTATGATGAGAGGCTTTCAGCCTCTTGCTGACATGCTTTGCCCCTCTCTCCCCCTGGCTTAATTCCCCAAATAAATTCAAAAAGGCACTTACCAAACATCTTCCTGGCAACATTTAATTTCCCATTGAACATTCCATGAGAATTATGCTTGTTTATTTCACTCATGAGATCTCTGTAGCAGCTTCTCCCATCTCCAATCTCCCCTTCTTTACACACGCAGCTAGAGACAAGAAGGAAGGCTAACTAAACATTATGAAGAAGTTCTCACACCACTTTTGACAAATCTGAGTAGGACAAAAGTAGCATCTGCATTTGAAAGAGTAATTGCCACCTTAAGGTGTAATTCAGAGCTTAGTAATTACTGCCTCATCTAAGGGATGGGAAATAAGATGCAGGCCTCTGGATGGCAGATAGCTTTGGCTCTAACCAAAAATAAAGAAGATGCTTTCTCAGATGCAATCAACATCAGAACAGTCTTCTTTAGTGTTCAGGGTACAGATAGCCAGTGTATTTATTAACGCCTTTCTATCCTGTTATTCAGCCAGAGTCAATCACTACAGCATCTGAAAACATGTGGTAATTCACAAACCCCACGAAGCTAAGTGGAAATCTTGTGAACAGCTCTCGTGACCCCTGAGCATCAGTGAGAAATACTGACCCCAGCACACTGGTTAGCTTCAGGTTGCTCTAGAATTAAGGAGGGCCTTAAACACTCTAATGACTTTTGCAGAACAGTTTATCTGCATGTGAAAACATCCATCCTGATCCACACACCGTAAGGTCATTGCTCAGAGATTACTTGAGATCGCTGGCCAATAACCAACGTTTTTTCCTGTTTGGGTTTTGTCCAAGCACCAGCTCTGCTCGCTGGTTTGGGGCCACCAGACCCCAAAGGGAGGTCTGACATCACTCCGGCCGCTGAGGGCTGAGCGCCAGCTGAAGTCAGGGGCTGTGCAGAACACGGAGTTCTGCCCTTTGCTGGCCTGTCTTCAGAGTAGAAAGCCATGGTTTCAGCTCTGCCCTGGATCACACACAGTTTTTTGGTAGGCCAAAAAATGGTCCTAGGTCTGCCATCATTTCTCATCTACAGGGTATCAATTTCTAAACATTTTACTTGGGAGTATTAAATGAGATCTGGCATTTCTTCCCTCTTCTCTGTCATTTTGCAACTCCACTTCTTGCTTCTCATTTCAATCTCTGTTTCTTCAAAATGTAGCTAATCCGCACTTGATTTCCATTATAGCTGCAGAACAAATTTTAAAAGCAATCCTTAAACTGGCATACCTGGGATTTCCATGGGAATTAATTTCACACTTAGAAGAGAAACCACAAAAATACGTCTGGCAGTCATTGGCAAGTGAAGCACATTCTAATGAAGGAGGCCGTGCGATCATGCCAGGCTTGCAAACACAGGACGCCTAACGGAAGACAAAGCACTGATTACAGAGATTATTTCACCCTACAGAGAAAAAAAAAAAAAATAACCAGTCTGATTGCAACATTGAAGGGGAGGAGAGCAGATCTGAGCTCACACAACGGTGAGATCACTGGGAGAACTTCCACACGGCCACCCTCCTTGCAGGCTGCTGGCACACCATTATCGCCCTTACCTTTCCTGGGCCATTGTAAATACAATTCGTTGAGGTTTCTGGGCAGCCTCCATTGTTATCAACACAGGGGTTTATGGGCTGGCAAACCCTCCCGTCTCCTTGGTATCCTTCTCTGCACGTACACTCATACTTTCTTGGACCAAGAAACTTACATACAGCAAAGGGGGAGCATGGAGAAGAAGTGCAGGGATCCTGAGCTGAAAATGAAAAGACATGAGGTGTAAGAATATCCACATTTCTGTTTTCAATACAGAACCTAATGATGCACAACGGAATGCCAGAAGCTAGTGGGAATGGAGGATAAGGGATTTATGTGATTAAGGTTCTACAGCTTCCCATGAAAATAAAATAGCTTCAGATAGCAGTTTGGGTTGATTTTTTTTTTTCTGATTTGAAGAATTTGGATGACACATACTTCATACCACATACAGTAAAACAAATATGAGTGACAGAAAGAGGAGGCCTGGATTTACTCCTGAATTTTCATCATATCTGAGGATTTCTACAAGCCGAGTTCGGTCAGCAAGAATTGGAAAAAGCCAGTGAAAAAGGAGCTATTGCTCTTGCAGGGATTCCTAAAAACCAGGCTATTACACTTCTGCAGCGACCCCGTATTCATGGCGACCGCGTTTACCCACAGATGCTAGAGCAGGGGTGTTTTTTCAGGCAGAGGACCTATCATGTCTCTCACCTACACAAGCGCTGCCGCTTTTTCTGTAGCCCAGCTTGCAGTTACACATCGCAGTCCCATCTTTAACCACGCATTCACTGTTGGCTTCACACCTCACACCTCTGCAAAGGGGGAGCTCTGAAATCACACAGCAAAGAGTTGCCCTTTGAGCAAGCAGGGCACTGCTGGAAGACACAGCTTACCTTACAAGATGCATGCAAACGCCATGGGAATGTGGCTTCTACAGGCCCAAGGTAGCATAAAAACCAGGGCTATAAGCAGCGATGGATTTGCAGCTTGGGCAGTGGGGTCCCACAAGGCTTGGAAGGAAGGGGTGATCTACCAAGTTTCCAGAGAAATCCCATCTCCTTTTGGGACACATGTATCCAGGCCCATCTTACAGTTACCTCTAACAGCCCCTCTTCAGCTAGTGGTGCGTTTACCTTGGTCACATCTGGGGCCAGTGTAGCCTCCATAGCAAGTGCAGCTTCTGTTCCCAGTGACACCGCTGTTGCATTCCCCATGCACACAGTCACACACTGAAAGGAAAGTCCAAGCAAACCTGGTCTTCAGCTTCAAGGCAGTGTGAAGGGCTCCAGTCTCACATTGCCTATCTGCCTTGGAAACTGGCACCCTGATGACCCACCACTTATCCACAGCAGGTGTAACTTGTATCAAAAGTAATGCCATGCCAATGTGGAAGGAAGCAGTGTTAAGATCTACTGTATGAGAGATCCAAGCATTGGGGTCATTCTGTGAGCGCAAGCACTGGGATCACACTTATGTCATCTGTGTGGATACAAAGGAAACAGGAGATGGAAGGCTGCCCTGGTTGTAAACTGATTCAAAATGATGTATGTGAGTAACAGTATTTTCTGTGTTAATTTGTAGGGACCGCAATATGAAGGAAGCTGAGAGACAATTGGAGCAGTGACAGGAATTTGAGAACAGCTGGGAAAGGAGCCTGTGTTGCTCCAGAGCATGTGGGATGTGAGGAAACTGAGATAGTTCTGGTAATGGGAGAGGGAGAGAGGCTTTACAATAGGAAGAATGGACTAATTTGAATGAAACACTGAGAATCGTTTTATGTAATGGGACAGCATGAAGACAAAATGTCAGGACATCTGCTATTAAACACTGCCAGCTGTCATCCCCTCCTCTCAGCCAGCACCATCCCTCACTCAGCTTCCCCTCTGCTTTACTTGCTCTCAGGTGTTTCTGCGGAGGTTTCAGTCTTCCTTACCTGACTGGCAGTCTGGGCCAAAACGGTTTTCGTCTCGACAGTTCTGGCAGGCAAAACCACTGTACTGCTCCTAGAAGGGGGCCATAATGTGACAGATGTTATTTTTCTACACCACTGCATTCCTCCAAATGTTGCCATAGCTCAAAGTATCTCCCCATTTCTGCTGTCCTCTGGCAGCCAAAGCCCTGCAGTGCTGGTGTACCACAGCCCATACAGAGGGGTAAACCCACACCCAGAGGGCAAAATATCAGAACTCAGATTGCCTCTGAGGAAACAATCTCTGGATCACAGACAAGAACATATCAACTGCTGATATCTCTCTGGAAAAGGAATTCACTGATGCTCATGGGACATTAGGCATTGATTTTATAGGGATAGAGGACCTTAACTGTGTATTTTAATTGATATAGAAGTCCAAAATCAGCTTTTCTCAAAGTGGGGCTTGAGAGGCAGGGTTTTAGCTAGTCTCTTCACAATGCCATTAATTAAGGATGCTGTAAAAAGGGGGGAAGTTTCAAGACTGTTCGGCCAATAATTTTAGAAACACTGCTTTATATGATTCACACACGCAGCAGTTGTTCGTGCTTCTGTTGTATTAAGACTAGAACTGCAATGGAAAAAAACAACAAAATGAGCTTTCTTTTTAGCCTTTCTTCCTTATCTGGAGAGGGGGAGGAACTGCCTACCAAGGTGAAGTACATCCTTAGGAAGTACATCAGGGAATTGTATCTTTCAATTCTGGTAAATGTGTGGCTCATCAAGAGGATCTCAGGGTTTCTTGCAGTCACAGGCAGACACTGATTATTTCAACTGATCAGAGGGGTAAATTCATGCAATTCTTTCTTAATTTCTTCCTAGAGATCCTTCTTAATGCCATAACCTCACCAACAGCGCCCTAGTGCTGGTGCAGACCACAATGGTCCTCCAGTTGAATCACAGACACTGATGCTGGAATAAAAGACTCTGCTAATGACCCTCCAAGCAGAAGACTGGCCTTCATCAAAGGCTGCAGCACAGACAGCGCTCTGCTCCCTCAAATGTGACAAACCCCCTCAGAACCCATTTGCTGACCTTGCAGATGCAGGTTCCATTTCGTTGCAGACCATCCAAGCATGTCCCATGACCACTGCAGGGATTTTCAGAGCCTCCTGGACATTCTAGCAGGTAAGAGGACAGATGAAGTTACATTGAAAAACCTAAACTGCATCCCTGGTTTTACCCCTTCTTCCCCTAGGCGTTCTAGCTGTGCAAAAGCACAATGGCTTCTTAACCAGCAAAGTCCTATAAGGGCTATTTGCACCTTGGGTTGGACTAACACACATATGGCACAAGAACTCCAGACCAGAGGGACACCAGAAAGAAATACCTTCCTCTTCCTTTGGAAACTTTCTTAAAGAGGAACAAAAACATCCCTTTCCAAAGCATTCTTTTTAAAGAAGAGACAAAAGGAAGTTCCAACAAAAGGGGTTATGTTACGTGCTAAATGTAAGCGGACGCAATCCACTGTGAAGCAAAGAAATTGCTTCCCCATTATCTTTTAAACCTCCTAGACAGATAATGGAGACCACGTGAGTGCTTAGAAAGCAGGAACTGGAATCATGAGAATTAATCAACTCAAGGCATATTTAATGCCTCCTGTTGAAACTGTTTTTGACTTACTGAACAGCTGGAAGTATTACAGATGGATGAAAAACTTACCATAACACTCTGTACCCCAAAATCCTGGGCAGCACTTTTTCTCCTCAATTTCCTTCTTACATGTGCGATAGCACCCTGATAGGGACAGGGTATTTTCTCCTAACTTGACAGTGTACCTTAAAGAGAACAATCCAAGGTTCATGATTACCACACAAACACACCACACACTTGTTGCAGGGTTTCTCAGCAAGCACACTGCTGTGCTCTGAGCTCTGAACGGAAGAGAACTCTTCCCTGCCCCAGTACACACACATGGAATTTCCCCTCTGGCCACATCTTCCCTAGGGATGCCTGCTGACTTGTGCTCCAAAGACAGGCTGTAAGAATTCTGCCAGGGACTGGATGTGAGACAGGATCTGGGGAAGTCTGACCATATCCAGACATGAGCTGCAGATGCCGAATGGTTAGATGGCATAGAGACAGAGTAATGCTCTCCAGAGTGAGTTCGGATTCTACAGCTAAAATAAATTTGAAAGAATAAAGTTTCCTTGCAAGACTTGTTGCCTTTTATCTTTCATTAATGACTCCACAGTGGTATGCTGGAAATTTGGATTTAATAGCTGTGTTCTTTTGCTGGGCTCTCTATGCCATCTAGGACATACCCCCTACATCCCTAAGAAGGAGCATTTTTCCCTTCATCCATTATCTTCAGGCAGAGGTAAGCCCTTGGTGGCAAACTGTCTCTTGCTCTGCGTGTGTGCTGGGCAGAACTGCACTTGGGTCTGTCCAACAACCCCCCCAACACCCAAACTGACAGCATTCACAAAAGCTGTCTGCACTTGGGTTATTCTCACACTTTAGTTTATTGTTGGCACAACATCTTTCCCCAAAAGGAACTTGGAAATTGGCTGTGGATTCCGCCTGGCTCCTGTATATGTCTGTAGTTACTGCACAACTGCTACAGATATTTTTAAACTGTTTCTACAAAATAGCCAATACAGACAACAGTAGACAATGGGGCTATATTGTATAACATTCACTACTGAATAGATGTGCAAACAATAATCTATAGCGTTCCATTGTCTAAAAATTTATGGATGCATTCAGTTTTCCTTCACCCTTTTCCTGCTAGATTCAAGCTATAGAAATGCTCAACAGAATAAGAGCAAGGAAGACAAGAATTAAGATTATTATTTTTCCTTTTTTTTCCCCTCCTCCCTTTCTGCCTTAGTAAAGAAATTTTATCATAGAATTATGGAATGGCTTGGGTTGAAAAAGACCACAATGATCATCTTGTTTCAATACCCTGCTGTGTGCAGGTCGCCAACCAGCAGCCCAGGCTGCCCAGAGCCACATCCAGCCTGGCCTTGAATGCCTGCAGGGATGGGGCATCCACAGCCTCCTTGGGAACCTGTGCCAGTGCCTCACCGCCCTCTGGGTGAAAAACTTCCTCCTCATATCCAACCTAAACCTCCCCTGTCTCAGTTTAACACCATTCCCCCTTGTCCTATCACTATCTACCACTGTAAACAGCTGTATCCCCTCCTGTTTATAAGCTCCCTTCAAATACTGGAAGGGTACTGAGTATTTAGCTCAGTCAGTGAGTCCTGTTTTGTTTCTTTCCCAACTCTGTCCCCCATCCCATTGGGAGGGGAATTTGTGGTACTGGGCTGCTGCCAGGTTAAACCACAGCAGTCTGAAATGGGTTTCTACAGACCTCTACAGAGTACACAGAGCTCTGTTTAGTTCCTACATCACAATCAGAAAACTCAGGTTGTTCAGGGCAAGGTGGAGGTAATCACTGTACAACTTATTTTCGGTATGTAGAACCTCAGACCATGACAAAGTCCCTGGGATTTGCAAGGAAATAAAAGCAACAACGGGGGCCATAAATCCATTTTGTGTATCTGAAATCAAAACTGCTTGGATTGTTAGAACTCACAAACCATACACATCACTGTTACCCCTTTGCATAGCAGGGCTAAACCAAAACCACGACTGCCTAGGGAGTGCCTTACCTGCAGCCCCTCACAAATCCTTCGGTGGCCCTCATCCAGCCTTTGGGACAGGATGTCCTAGACACCACAGCACAAGATGTACATGCTGTGCTTGAGGTAAATGTCATCTTCACGTTGCATTTCATTGATTTTAACTTGGAAAAAAAAAAAAAAACAAAAAAAACAAAGCAGAACAAAAATGAAATAAGTTCAAAACTGAGTGGTTTTCATATTGACAACTATTAGTATCTTTGTCAGCACTGCATCATTCTTTTTGCAACCAAGAAGAGCAGGGAGGAGACTTGGATAATCAGTATGGCTGGTGATAAATTCAGCATAAGTACCTCCACCTAACCAGAACAACTTCTCCTTAGGGGCTCAGGCATCCTAGCAGGGTTTTTCCATACCCTTGTACCCACCAGCTCTGCTTCTCCAAAAGAAATGCAGCCAGAGCAGATGAGAAAAATACAGCCTCACAGAGAGCAGGCATCATTGCATGCCAGCTTGTCACTGAAGCTCACAGATGACTCTCCTCGAATTCCTAAACAACTTGAGCCAAGCAACTGCACAAGAGACGTCTTTGCTCATTTTAAAAAGAGAAAATGTTCACCTCTGATGATGGCAGGGAAAAGCTGGGAGGCAGGAGTTCTGTTTGTCCCAAAAGCTCATCAGTTGGAAAAAAAACACAACTCTCCTCAAATGTACCTCTACAGGCACTGTATTTTCTAAAAATAAAAATATTAGATCAGATTCTGGGAGGAGATCTCAATCTGGGATATTTTTCTAAAGCCAATCCTGAACAACGCCGTTAGCCCAGCAGCTCTCCTGTTGTCCAGAACACCCTGTTTTGGGTTCCCACCAGCAACCTCAGTCCAGCTCTGCTTCCTTTGAACCTGAGTAAGCCCAACTGCATACGTTTGCCTCAGAACAAAGGAGGAAGTCCACAGCTTCCCATTCCCATCTTTATCAGCAGCCCAGGAAGGCCCTCCCATATGATAGCCAGCAGACCCTGTCAGGAAAACCTCCTGAGAGATAACCCTGGAGTTCCAGCTCTGCAGGGACATCTCTGCACAACAGTTTCCTGACTGACACACGTTCCCTCTGCCTGGAGCTGCTGATCTTTTCCTGCCTTCCTGGAGTTACCTGCAGCCATTCGTGCAGAGATGCTCCCAGCAAACCAACCGACCCTTCTGATGGTCCCTCATGTGGATATCATTTCTAGTTGTGCATGTGGGACACTCCTTGCTGAGCTTTAATAACCACTTCCTTTGGAAGGACTCCCTTCCCTGCATTATAAATAGCTTGAAAACAATCTGAGATCCTCCAGATTCATCTCCCCATCCCCTGTGACCCAAAGCTTCACTAACTCTATCCAGCAGGATAGAGGTCAGCATTGCCATTCCTTATGTTTCTACCCTACAGGCACACAGTGTAGCCAGAAATCTCACATCTTTTATGGAGCAAAACTAAGACAGTCACTACAGATGGGTAAACGAGGAGCTAGTTCTGGAGTACTATGCCTCGAACGATCAGTGGTGCCACTGATGGGGCAGGAAAGAAACAGCTCAAAATAGTGAATTTTAGCACAAAGTAGGACTCCAGATTAAAGCTCAGCTTTTGAGAGAATCCAGATGAACTCAGACACCCAGTTCTAGCAGAATTGTGCATCTGGTCCCTTCAAATCCCAGCCTCAGCCTTCGCTCAGGCAATGCCTCAGGAAAAGGAGAAGGGAGAAGCTTAAGGAGGAAACGCAGATGGATGCCTTACTGCAGGAGATGCTCTTTCACTGTCAGAACTTCCCCACAAACCCTTATCAGGTGTCTGAGCCTCCCCATCTACATTAAAAAGCCCACACAAAGAGTAAAGCACAAGGCATTACATTAAAGCCCTCCAATCTTCTCTCTCATCTTTACTTCCAGGTATCAGGAGCTGGCTGTCAGCACACCTGGGCCACTAAACGTGTTCTCTGCCACACATTCCATTTTTTTTCTGTCCAGCATTGGTACCCCATTTCTAAACAGAGAAGGATGCTGTGAGAGGAGCACCTCCTTACCCAGTGGCACCTGTAAGTATTTGCAGTTCGTTTTCAGAATAAAACAAAGGCCTCTAAGGCAAGACAGTTGCCATGGAATCCCCCCACCCTAAATTCCTAGGACACTTGGTGAAGCTTAGGCAGCTTTCCAGTAAGACCTTCCCCTTTTTGGAAGGAAATATGCCCATGTCAGCAGCAACCAGCAGGAGGAAAGAGGAAGAAAATAGCAGTGTGGAAAATGAAAAAAAATAAAATGTCCTTTCTTATTTGAGTGACAGAACTGATGAAGTAGTCATTTTTCTCTGTTTGCTTTGTTTGGAAAGCAGAAGAAAGAATCGACAGACATAAAAGCGGTGGTTTGGATGCTCAGGATTTGGAGAGGATGAGAGGCAGGCTGCAGCTGCAGTCACAGGGCACTCCTGGGGCACAGCCTTGTGGAAAACAGCCATGCTGCTCCTCTGGCCTTATCTGTGACCACTCCTCCTAAGGCTGAAAACACTGGGGATGAAGTAGCAGGAGGGAACGTCTGCCTCTGTGTTGCAGCACGGCTGCCCATAGCACTGAGGACCCACGAAGCCCCTGGTGGCTGTGCCAGGGGAAGAAGGGGGTGAGGTGACAACAGGCACTGCTCCCATCAGATGAGGTGAGCCTGAACTGCACCACGCTTCGGGTGCAAAGCAAGCAAACAGGAAAGCTGGTGTTCTCAATCAGCTCCAAAAATAAAGGAGGCTTTTAGAGCTGTAGCCAAAAAGGTTCATGGGCATGGAGCCCCTGCACACACTGAGCAATGTCCTGCCAGGGCAGGATGGTTCTTTCTCACTGCGCTCACTCACACTTATGTACAGGAGCAGCCGTGGTCCTCTGGGCTTCACTGAGACACTTCTGAGCTTCTGGATGCTGCAGTGCTTCCTACACTTTTCTCTTTTACTTTCCAGGTGCTCGTGTTTATTTTATTCAATTTCAAGAGAATAAGCTGGGGACTTTTTAACGGGCTATTTTTATTCCCTTCATTTTCTTATCACTTATCACTTCCTCTCAAATCGTAACACAAATCCTTCTGCAAGACAAAACTCCAAGGAAGAAAGAAAAACATATTTGGACTTCAGTGTTCGGCTCCAACAATCCTGGGAGCCAGTTCTGGAAACAGTCATTATCTAATGAATCACCAAGTTTCCAGTGCTTTTGCCCTTTACAAAACAAAGCTTCAGACATTTGCTTGAGTCACTACAATCATATAACAAGTTCTCAGGTGCACTTTAGCTGAGCAGACCAGCAGCTCCTGGACATACCAATACTTTGCATTTGCCCAAGAAAAGTGCTTCTCAGCATGAGGACAAACAGCTCGGAGACACTTAAGACAAAGAGCCTTCCTCTCCTTCCCCTGCTACTTCTGTTCTTCCTCCAGTATCACCTGGGACTGATCTCTCAACAGTGAAACTCTCCTGGTTCTCACATGTGCTGTATCTTCTGCAACTTACACCAAAGCCCAAATCAAGCTGACAGACCTGAGTTATCAAATCAGAGCTCTGAGATAACATCACTGGAAACCAGCTGCCACAAAGCCTCTCTTTTCTCTCTCAGTGACCCCTGCGAAGCTCCTGCAAGGCAACAGAAGGCTTCTGGTGGCACCTCAGCACTTCTCTAACAGTCACATTCTGTGGCCGTCCTGAGTGATCTGAGTAGACTTCATCAGACTCTTGTTTTTCCTTGCTTCCCATTTTAGATTTTCAAGAGTTTCTTCTCTCCCTCCAGGAGAAGGAAGCTTTTGGGAAAAGAGATCTGAAAGGTCATTTTTCCTAGAGTAAATAATCTGTTCAAGAGGTGATTATAAATATTTCACCTCTCTCTGAGCAGTCACTCATTACCTACATTTTAACTGCTTCACACCCAGCCAGACACCTCAGGAATTATAGAAACCAACATCTCTTCGAAGTGAAGAGACCAACATTTCTGCTGGCAGCAGCTGAAGGAGCCCTGCCTCTGCATGCACTGCTGCACTGGGACCTGCTTGTCTGGAAATCATGCTGTCAGACCAACAGTGAGCACCAGTAGAGACACTTCTTCAAACCATACTTGTGCTCAAGTCACCATAATATCCTGGAAGTCTGAAAAGTTCACAAGGTTCTTACCTTATTTAAAAGCTTTTTACCCATGTATGGCCCTTGAATTAGCCTATGAAAGTGCCATATACATAAACAGAAGCTTCTACCTAAATTTCTCACACTGAAGCACCTTTCCAGCACTCTGTCCTTTCCTAAGTCAGGTCTTCCAGACTCAGAATCATGTTAGCTCATCTGTGCACTCCCCTCAAAACTATCTGTCATTCAACACAAGGTAACCCTCCCACAGCTCAGATGCCCAAGGAAGAGGATTTCCAGATGCCTCACACAGCTTCAGACTTTGTAGGCCAGTCCGTTCCTTCGACAGCAGAAAAAAGACAAGGGCAGCAGGCGACACAAATACACATCAGAGTGAAGACCTTAGACATACAGAGGCATCCTACACTCCTAGCACTACAAGAGCTAAACACAAGAGTGGAAATAGAGAAATTGAAGGAAATCTTCCCACTGAAAGTATGTGGTTTTCTTCCTTGGGGAACTGCAAGGAAATGCACATGAAACAAATGTATTCTCCCTGCTGCACATCAACAGTTCAATGAGATTTTTGGAAGTGTTTTAGAAAAGTCTCTAGGAACACATATGGACCTGTGCTGAGAGATGCCTGAGGTACAGAAAATAGCAGAAGACAAAGATCCCCAGTGATGCTCTACACTGCATTCAGTGCTGATCATAAATACAAACTGAACCTGACTAAAAATTCAAGTAATTAGCTTCAACCTTAACGTTGGCTCTGACCTTTAGGCGATACATAGAATGGCCTGGGTTGAAAAAGACCACAATGATCATCTTGTTTCAATCCCCCTGCTGTGTGCAGGTCACCAACCGGCAGACCAGGTTGCCCAGAGCCACATCCAGCCTGGCCTTGAATGCCTGCAGGGATGGGGCATCCACAGCCTCCTTGGCAACCTGTGCCAGTGCCTCACCACCCTCTGGCTGAAAAACTTCCTCCTGATATCCAACTTAAACCTCCCTTTCTCAGTTTAACACCATTCCCCCTTGTCCTATCACTATCCAACCCTGTAAACAGTTGTTCCCTTCAAGTCCACCCATGAGCAAGGAACGTATTTTACAGGCTGAAAGTTCCATTCTGCATGCTATTCTGCACCTAGCAAAATGCACATGAGAAACAGAGGTTGGAGAGAACTGTTCTGTAGCACACAAACGTTCATATGTGAAGGGCTGTTTGAGGAACATTTAAACAAAGGCAGGCAGACTTACCTTCGGAGTCTCGCAGTCGGCTGTGGGAATGAAGCACGCTGCTAAGAAGAAAAGCAGCAATTCAGGAGGATGCATTTTCATTCTTTTACAGGCAGGACCCTTTTCACAAAGGGGTGGTGGTGATAGAGGCTGCAGTTTCGGTAAGATAAGACTTCCTACGAGGAATCAGATCCAAGACAAAGCACTGGTTAGAAGTGAACAGAGTGAGAACATTTTCGCGTGGTGCTCCTTGGCTGCAAAGCCTTTGTACGTGGAATGACTCCTTCTGCTGTTACCCCTCAATCAGTGCTGCCTTTTTCTTTCTTTCTATTCTGTTTTTTTAATACACAAGCAGAACTCCTCACTGAAAGGTCTACTCAAAACAGGAACGACGACGGATTTCCTCTTACATATCAGTTCAAAACAGAAGGAAGGAAATCCTTAGTTTTCAACTAATTGGAATGAAAAGAGGTTAACTGTGTGCTTAACTGAAGGCAAATCCAAAAGGCAAAATTTAGATACCCTGAATTCATGAAGTTACAGCAATTTCATTTTACCAGTGACATTAGTATGTCCAGAACCTCCCCAGCAGAAGTACACCCAGTGATTGCCTATCCCAGTGTGTGTGTGAACAAAGCAATGCAAGCATGAGTTGCACTTCAGAGCAGTAATACGAGCACATGCCACCAATCAGTGAAACACTTTGGGCAGCGTGTGATATTTATTTAAAGTTGTTTCAGTTACTCAGCACGACCAACATCCCATTTGTAGATGCTATGCCAGCAGTAGCAAAATACATTAATCCCCAAAGACTCTGCTGACACTCTGATGAACTCAAGGAGCTCCCCCATAGCACTCAGAAGATGAAAATTCCTAAATGTGATTAAAAAATACAAAACTACCTGAGATGCTGCCAGAAATGGAAGTTCTCCTTTTGAATATTACAAACAACCACGGATTTATAACTGATTTTACGTGGCCTTTGTTTCCCACTGTACAGAGGAGCCTAAGGATTGCTTCTCCCAGTAGCAAATCCCCCCTGAGCAATGAGGTATCCTTTGGTTTTGAGCCATGAATAGTACAGGAAAGTGCATAATGATACCAGGATGGGAAGCAACTTTGAGTTTAGATTGAGCACGTTCGTATTTTCTCGTCCCCTGCGCAAACACACAGACGTGCATGCTAAGACAGAAAGGATGTAAGAGCTGCTGTACTTACTAGTGCTGTTAATTGGGCTTTACCTCTTCCCCCATCCTACAGAGCAGCCAACATGACGAGGAGCAAGCAAGTTGTACACCCGAGCTGGCAGGAAGTACAAGAGGCAGATGTACCAGCCCACGGCCCAGCCTGACTCGTCCTGTGGGAGGACAGCCCAACAAACCACAGCTCTGGGCAAGGCCAGGAGCTCCAAAACTGTCCTGTACTCTGTGGAGCAGTGAAATGAGGAGGAGGCAACACAATGCATGCCAGTTCTGCTGGGATCAGAATTGCAAAGAGTCATAGAATCACCAAGGTTGGAAAAGACCTGTAAAGATCAGGCAATCCACTGTCAGTTGAGATATGCTTGTAGAGGGGGAGCGCTAGGATGGAGGCTGCACAGCGCCGTGTGGATTTACAAGCACGGCACCAGGCTGCCCGTGTGCACTGAGCAATGCTCCTCTACTCCGTGCTACCTGCCAGGCACATGCAGCTAGAACAGGCAGCCTGCAGGGGACTCGCTGCTCAGCAGAGCTGTCTGTCACACAGGGGGTACGTTGGAAGTACTGGGCACCCACAGATAGACAAGCTTTCATGGTGAAGATAGCTTATCCTGAAGCACATGAGCACACTCTTCCTTTTTACCAAACCTCCAGCCTGATTTCTAATTGTGTGTTTTCCAAAGAAAAATGTTTCAGCAGTAAAAAGACACGCAAAGACTGTTTCTAAGGCTTTCCACTGCTGCCTATCATCTCTGTGTCTGGCCTAGTGCACAGAAAAAAGAAAAGGAAAGGAAAGCTTGGTGGAATCAGATAGGACACACAGTAATGAAAAGGCTCCCAGTCTCTTTACCTGATCATCATTCATGCTAAAGGCGTGTGATAAAACAGCAGTACACAGCCTACAACTGGGAACTCATTTTACAGCAGAAGGGCATAAAGCATAAAATCCAAAGGTCAGCTATCACCAGGTACTTTTCTGACCAAGCGGCAAAGGCAGCATGTTCCAGCCATTGGGTATGAACTGCTCAGATCACAACTGCTAGTTCTGCAACACCAAAAGCTGTGCCAACATTGCATCTGCATGACCCTGGGAATTAGTGTCAGGTGAAACTACCCAGCTCCAAAAGAGTGGATGGCCAAAAGCCATTACCAATCATAGAATCACAGAATCTTAGAATGACTGAATGAATGCTCAGTTCATTGCGGAACGATGCAGTGTGCTCACACAGGCAGTCCAGTTGCCAACACTGCCAGAGATGACACTGTGACAGGAAGGGGAAACAGCTGGGAGGAAGAAATACATATTAGTGCTGCATTTACTCTGATCCTTTTCTCTTCTGGCAAATACAGATCAGGAAAACACTAGATGCTAAGAAGAATTTATGTGAAAGGTATCCTGAGATCTGGCAGAAGCTAATGCTTCTAAACCATGCAGGATGTTCAGGGGAAGTATCCAGGTCTGCATTAAGAACATCACTTACAAACAGGACCTGAGGAAATGGCCGCAAGTTGTACCAGAGGAGGTTTGGGTTGGACATGAGGAGAAACTTTTTCTCTCAGAGTGGTCAGGCACTGCAATGGCTGCCCAGGGAGGTGGTGGAATTGCTGTCCCTGGCAGCGTTCAAGAGGCGTCTGGATGAGGAGCTGCGAGATCTGGTTTAGTGCTTGTGGTAGCAGTGGTGATGGGAGGATGGTTGGACAAGATGATCTTGCAAGTCGTTGTGATTCTATGATTCTGTGACTAGCAATTAAAGGAACTTGTGAAATGGGGCAAATGTAAAAAAGTTTGGTTCCAAAGCACATCGTCTCTGTGACCTGACATTTCTTCCATGAACACCTTAACATTCAGAACTGAACAACCATTCTGGTGAAAACTTCTCAATCTGTTCACAGAGGGAAAAAATAAATTAAAAATCCTGTGCTTATGTGAAGGAAAGGATTCACACACAAACCCCTCCAGCCCTGCAGGGCCGTGCATTTAAAATGCTGTGTCACCAGCCCTCTCCATGCAGTGTGCAGCCCTGGCTAGCTTGGGCAATTTCCTGCGATTGAAATCTTGTTTGAGCAATCTTTTCTGAAATGAGAGAACCCAGGGAAATGGTTTGCCACCTAGCTGCCATACCACGCTGCTTCTCTGTGAGATGGCCCTTTGGTTATCTCAGTGGAATCTTGTTCCAGTCTTCTGGGAAAGCTAGCAAAGGTCTCTCCTGTCTGAATCAGAAGTGCATCAGGAGGCTGTGGGCCTTACAAGGCACTGAATAGGCCAAGCCACAAGTGCTTTGTGTAAGAACAGGGCTGGCTGTGCTGTACTCACTGAACACCCCACTGCTGCTGCACACAGTCCTGGTGTTTTATTTTTTTCTCTGTTGGCAAGTTGGAAGGAACAGGAATTGTGAAGATGCTGCCGGCCCTGTCCTACCTATCACTACCAACTCCAGGCTCCTTTCTGCATGCTTTTGCTGTGAAAGCCTGCTGTGCTGTTCCATCTCTTGGTTTTACTTTTTTTGCCTTCTCCATCTGGTAAGGAGTGCTCTGGGATTCTCCTGGGATTTAGCTTCTCATTTCCCCACAGCTATTTGATATGAGTTAGATATCATGATTCAGGATCTCAGGGAGCCAAATTGGGTTGTGAAGATAGGGAGAATGTGAAGCTCATGATATTAACAAGGTTCTGAGAAAAGCCTGAGGCCAGCTGCAACAAAAGCCCTCTGCAGATGCTCGAAGCTGTACTGCTAGCTGTAAACTAGGCACAGAGCTCATGAGTTCAGAGCTTAAATCTCTGACATAAGCAGGTGTCGTCTGAATCTCAGCACCTTCTCGCTGCAATGAGTTTCATACCCCTTTTTCCACATCCATTTTTAGCTCACAGGGTTAGCAAATGTCCCTTCATTATCAGGTAGGCGGCAGGAAACAGAAGCTGGAAATTCACCTGCTCTGAACTACTGTGCGCTTTTCCTTGTGGTGCTGCTTCTCCTGAGACCAGCTGTGTCTGAAGATAAACCCCGTAGGAGTAAGCATCTCCATCAGACACTGCATGCAAGAAGTGGCATTTTGTATTATTATTTGTTGTTGGTTGGTTTTTTTTTAAAGTTCCTTATTAAAGTTGTCAAGAAAAAAAAATTAAAAAGCTTGATATATTACTGTTCAGTACATCTACAGCCACCAGAGTGGTGCTGGGAACAAAGCCTGCGATGAACATGGTGCAGGCAGGATAGGAGCATCTCATTCAATTTCCTGCTTTGTGAGATCCATTTACAACTTTCCAATTGCAGTAGAAGGGAAGTTGTACGTTTGGGCAGATCCTCAGCAGATGAGACAGAGCATAGCTGCATGGGTCTTCCTGGGCTGGCACATGCTACACCAGCTGGAAAGTCTCAGTTGGTTTGAGAAATTTTCTGGAAAAGTTGGTGCCTTCACATGCTAAATCCACTCCTAACTCAGTATCTGAATGTTGAACAGGACTTGAAAGCGCAACATATATGAATATAAAGGCTTACCAAAGAGAAACCAGTATGCAGGGCTTCACCACGCTCCTGCAGAAACAGAGGAGTAATCAGAACAGCTTTGCGTGACCAAAAGTGCTTACAAAGCTACTGACTTCACAGAACTTTCTGTGCAAGCTAACTGCGGTCAGCTGGAAAACCTTCACAAATGGGAACAATCAGATCATTTATTAAGTCCAAATGGACAGATTTTAAGTTTTATATCTCTGTGATCTTAGGCACAATTGTGTTCCTGCTGGTAACATTGGAAAAACTGACTGCCCAAACTACAGAGCAAGCAGGAACTCTCCTTTGTTATTCCACTATGTACAGAGAAGCGTGTTAAAGCAGACATAATATAAATTAGTGGCAAATTTGCAAGCCCCATCTTACCAGAGGATGATATCCCTGGTTTCACAGTCTGCCTTGTTCATCTCATTTTAGCAGTGCATACACTCGTGAACAACTGTTTTCAAGGATGAAACACAGGAAGAATAAAATATCATGGAACAGATCCTCCTAGAAGTTATGTTAAGGCACATGCGAGATAAACAGGTGATTCAAGACAGCCAGCAAGGCCTCACCAAGGGCAGGTCGTGCCTGACCAATCTGGTGGCATTCTATGATGGAGTGATGGCTTTGGTGAATGGGGGAAGGGCAGTGGATGTCATCTACCTGGACTTCTGCAAGGCCTTTGATGTGGTCCCTCACCACATCCTTCTCTCTAAATTGGAGAGGTGTGGAATTGAAGGGTGGCCTGCTCGATGGATTAGGAGTTGGCTGGCTGGACACAGCCAAAGGGCTGTGATCAACAGTTCTGTCTCAGGGTGCAGGCTGGTCACAAGCGGTGTCCCTCAAGGGTTGGTCTTGGGACCGGTGCTCTTCAACATCTTCATCGATGACACAGTCATCGAGTGCACCCTCAGCAACTTTGCAGATGACACCAAGCTGAGCGGTGGGTCAATACTTTGGAAGGAAGGGAAGCCATCCAGAGGGACGTGGCCAGGCTGGAGAAGTGGGCCCATGAAAACCTAATGAGGTTCAATAGGGCCAAGTGCAGGGCGCTGGGTCGGGGCAATGCCAGGTGTTTATACAAACTGGAAGAAGATCTGGAAGCAGCCCTGCAGAGAAGGACCTGGGGGTCCTGGCGGACGAGAAGCTGGCCATGAGGCAGCAGTGTGCGCCTGCAGCCCGGAAGGCCAGCTGTGTGCTGGGCTGCATGAAAAAGGGGCGGCCAGCAGGAGAGGGAGGTGATCGACCCCCTCTGCTCGGCTCCTGTGAGGCCCCATCTGCAGCGCTGCGTCCAGGCCTGGGGGCCCAGCACAGGAAGGACATGGAGCTGTTGGAGAGGGTCCAGAAGAGGCACTGAGATGAGCAGAGGGCTGGAGCAGCTCTGTGTGAAGAAAGGTTGAGAGAACTGGGCTTGTTCGGCTTGTAGAAGGCTGCAGGGAGAACTCATTGTGGCCTTCCAGTACTTGAAGGGAGCGTATAAACAGGAGGGGATATAGCTGCTTACAATGGTGGATAGTGATAGGACAAGGGGAATGGTGTTAAACTGAGACAGGGGAGGTTTAGGTTGGATATTAGGAGGAAGTTTTTCACCCAGAGGGCGGTGAGGCACTGGAACAGGTTGCCCAAGGAGGCTGTGGATGCCCCATCCCTGCAGGCATTCAAGGCCAGGCTGGATGTGGCTCTGGGCAGCCTGGTCTGCTGGTTGGTGACCTGCACACAGCAGGGTGTTGGAACTGGATGAGCACTGTGCTCCTTTGCAACCCAGGCCATTCTGTGATTCTATGGTTCTGCAGCACACACGCACTCACACGGAGGTCCCCGGCCTCGGCTGCAGGGCCCAACCGCTGAGCTTATGCCCTACAGCATTGCTCACTCGGCCCGTATGCTCAGCCGAAGGGCGAAGCGCATTCTTTTCAGGCCCCCCACAAGGCCGGGCTCTCCGGGGCCACATCTGCTATCAGCGTTCCGGCCTGAGGACCCGCGGTCGTCGGAGCGCTACAGGGAGGCACGGCGAACCGCGAAACAGGCGGTGCCGCCCTTCCGGCCGAAACTACAGCTCCCAGCGTGCATCGGGACGGTGCGCATGCGCGCCGCAACAGAGCGGACCAGGCTTTTTGGCTTACGGCTGCTTGAATCCACCGGGATCGCGACAGAGCTGTCCTGGACGCGGTGTGGGGATGGTGGCACCTAGCCCAGGAGGAAGGCCCGGCTCCTGGCCCACCCCACAGCCTGCAGCAGCCGCGGCTCTGCCAAATCCAGCAACATCCCCGTGATGACAGAAACACCGCCAGAATGGGCTGCAGCTGCCAGCCTTGGCCTCCCCCACACTGCATAATGGAAACGTTGTGCCCCACTGGAGTCAGGGCCAGAACCCAGCTCAGCCTGAACCCGGCCACGGAGAAGAAGGAGAGGGTTGGGTGCTGGGGGGAAGGGATCCCTGTGGCTGCAGCCCCTACAGCTGCCCACCTCGGGAAAGGCAGAGAAGAACCAAACTGACAGTGGCATGATGGAACTGTCACTTTTATTGATGGACTTTGATGACTTTACACAGCAATTGGAGCTGGCACACGGCCGCTCCGATGGCATCAGTGGGGCCGGCGGTTGATGTTCCGGGCCCGACGTGGAAGGCGGGAGCGGCTTCGGCCCCAGGCTGGCCGTCGCCGCCTGGACCGGCTCCTGCGGCGTCTTTGGGGCTGGCTGTTGGTCTCTGCAGCCCGATGTTCCAGAGGCGAGCGGCTCCGAGTCCTGGCCCGCCGTGTCTGCCCAGAGAGCAGCTCAGGCACCTGGGAGCTGTGGTCTGGTCCCGATGGTGCCTGGTTGGTGGTGTCGGAGCTGCTGCTCTCCTGTCCTGTAGGGCCTTGGGATGGCCCCAGGCCCTGCTGGCTGGTGGTGTTGGGGCCAGCGCTGTCCGCATTGGTGCTGGAGGCTGTAAGGGGAGGCAGGAAGGTGAGCGGGACAGATGTCCAGCCCCGGGGTGGGACAGGCTCTCATCCCTCCTGGGCCAAAGGGACTTGAGCAAGGCCTCGCCTGGCCCCAGCCCAGCAGCACGCGGCCGTTTGCCTCTTACCGATGCCCTCTCCAGCACAGGTGTTGCACTCCCAGCTTGTTGCGCTGTGACTCAGGTTGGAGCAGAGTCGATGGGTGCCTTGTGCAGCGCAGGAGCTGCAGAGGAGCAGCTGCCAGGGCCTGTGGAAAACAGCGGGTTGTGGCCGTGAGGACAAAGTGAGCTGAGCCAGGGAGCGCCGGCACGGCTCTGGTGCCCAGTGTGTGCTCTCCCAGCCCGTGGTGAGGCTGCGATCCCACGCCGAGCCCCAGAGGGCTGCTGAGGGAACTCACCCCTCTCGCTCTTCTCGCTCCCTGCCGCCTGGGTAACGGCAGTCGCTGGCATCGCAGCGCCGGTGCCTAACTCCCAGGGATGCGTAGGCACGGTTGTTCTCCCACTTTGGTTTTCTGCCAGAGAAAGGAGGGAATGTGATGAGCTCCCAGTGCCTGTAGACTAAGACTGAGCAAAGCCACCCCCGCATTGAAGGGCCAGGCCTGCTGGGGCAGTCCTTGGGCAGGCACAGCTCTTGTGCCCTCATGTCTCGAGAGCTGGCTGAAGGCCACCCACCTGGCTGGGATGTGGATGCCCAGGTTGATCATTTCCTGAATGAACACCTCTCTGTCTCGGCAGAGAGGGCACTGGAAGCAGCGCAGCCCAGCGCTCTTGGCCATTCCCTGCAGCAGAAACACAAGCAGTGTGAGCGTGAGCCAGGCCTGGTGCTGCTGAGCGCCTGCCTGCCTGCTGGGCGAGGGGAGAGCTGCTACCTGGATGCAGGCGCGGTGGAACCAGGCATGTTGGCAGGCAGGGCACACCATGGTGCTGTACGACCTGCAGAGCCCCACGGGCTCCATGCAGATGATGCAGGTCGTGTCCTGCGTTGGCGCTGTCTCCACTGGCTGCTGTGGGAGGTGCTCCCAGCAGAAGGACCTGGAGGAAGATGGGAGGGACGGGCAAGGTGAGAAGTGCTGCCAGGAGGGCAGAGGAACGGGAAGGAGCCCCAGGCCTTGGCTCTGGCTCTGCCAGGCTGCTGGGAGGCGTCAGGGCGCGCTCCTCGCTTCTTTGGCTGGTGCTGAAGCAGGGCTTGGAGGCCCGCAAGCGATGCCTGGCAGCCCTTACCAGTGTCGGTCAAAGTGCTGGGTGACGCATTGACCCTCGTTGGCGCAGGGGAAATGGAAGCTGCGGTCGCAGCCCGTCTCCGCGCAGGTGATGGTGGCCCCGCGCTGGCCACAAACGAAGCAGAGCTGTAAAGAGCAGAGCATTTCCCATCAGCTGCAGGCTCAGGGCCTACGCAGCGGGCCCCGCACCTCTGTGCAGGGCACGGGATGGGGGCAGGGCTGGCTGGCACTCTGCAGAGCTGCCTGCTGAACAGGGCTGGTCTGCAAGAGCAGGGATTTCTCTTGGGGCTGCTTGGAAGGGCTGGGATTGCTTTCTTTGCACCAGGCTAAGCTCGCCATGCCTCCGCTGGCACCAAGCTCCCTGTTCCGGTGCGGTGCTCACCGTCTGCTCTGCCTGCCTCATGGTGCGAATGAGGTCTTCAACGTAGAACAGACCTTTATTTTGATTGTCTATTCCATGTTGACAAAGACCGTTGGCAAATCCCTGTAGAGGAGGAAAAAGCACGATGTTATGAATGCAGAAAGAAGGGAAGCACTGGTTGGAGGAAGGTGCCAGGAGGCACGAGGGAACTCACCACACAAAATGCATGGAAGCACATCCCATACATCTCGTATCTCCTGCCGAAGATGGATTTCTGGTTATCCACTCGGCCACAGAGCACGCATGCTGGAGAGGAGAGAGAAACAGCAGTGAGCAGCTTGCAGGGCCAGGTGTCCCCAGGGCTGTCCCAGGGGCTGCTGTGTGCCAGCGTGCCAGCTGAGGGGCAGGGCTGGTGGCCGTGGAGGGCTGCGTGCAGGGATACTTTGCTCTCACCTGGCTCACTCGAGCCGGCGGCCTCCTGAGTCCCCTCGGACATCGTGTGCACAAACGGCGAGCACTCGCAGAGTGTCTGTCCCAGCAAAACCAGGCTTTCTCCTCCGCGTGACAACCTAGGGGAGAAGCGGGACGAGGCTGAGTTCTCAGCTCCGGCCCCGAGCGCTGGGGAACCCTCCTCCCTGGGCAGCCTCAGGCAGCCCCTTCCTCCCTGCTCACCTCACCAAGTCGCACTGAGCTCCGCCTGGGCCCCGCAGCCTTGGCTCTGTTCTGCACCCCGCAGGTCACAGTGGCCGTTCCGTGCCACCCTCTGTGATGCCATCACACCCCACCCAGGCACCCAGGCAGCAGGGCGGAGGCTCTTGCAGCCAGCGCAGGGCGAGGGGCCCGGTGCCGGACGCAGCCCCGCTGGAACCCGGCGTGTTGGTGCTGCTGAAGGCACTGGGCGACACCTGAGTGCCCCTCACTCCTGGCCCCACCTGAGTGCTGCCGGGCCTGTGGCTCCAGCAGTGTCCCAACCAAGCGCTCAGCTGTTCCCGTGACTTTTTGTTGCTTGCTGCTCATTACCTCTCGCTACAATAAATGACTCGATTCACAGAATCACAGCGTCCCTGTGGTTGGCAAAGACCTCTAAGATCCCCAGGTCCCACCGTCCCCCCCCCACCTGCCCACGTCCCTCAGTGCCACATCCCCACAGTTGTGGGACGCCTCCATGGGCGCTGACTCCCCCATCTCCCCATGCAGCTGTGCCAGTGCCCGACCGCTCTTTCAGCAAAGACATTCTTCCTAGGATCCAGCAGGGATCTCCTGGTGCAACTGGAGGCCGTTCCCACTCCTTCCATCACTGTTACCTGGAAGAAGAGGTGTGGCCTCCCCAGCGCAGGGTACAGGGCCACGATCACCTCCCTGCTCCTGCTTGCTGCACCGTTTCCGCTGCAAGCCAGGATGCCCTCGGCCTTCCTGGGCACCTGGGCACGGTGCTGCAGCACTGTAGTGTTGCCTGAGGTTGTTGTGAGCAAAGAGCAGCAGCCAGCACTTGGTCTTCTTGGCCCTATCCGGTTGCTGAGGCTCTGCCCATCCAGCCAGCCATCCCGATCCCCGTGCAGGGCCCTCAAGCAGATCAGCGCTTCTTCCCCACTGGCCTCAGTCTGGAGCCCTCTGGAGCACCACTCACATCTTTTACTCACCACCAGTACTTGGTGGTAGCACGTCGTTGTCATTAGCATGTGGGTATGGAATGACTAGAAATTTAGGTAGATCACTCCAAAAATAATGCCTGCCCTATTTCCTTTGAAACTACTCCAGACACAGCATAATAACACTGTTTGATAGAGCAAATTCTGCACTTCCAAGGGCTATTTCTCAACGTAGTTGCAAGCAGTAGCTGCGCATTTTCATCAGCAGTGGTCAACAGGGAGGGGAGGGGAGGACGTTCCTTGTGACAAGTGAGACACAGAGTCTGTTGCTGGTGGAGAACAAAGACCTTTATTGTAGGTGCTTACAACCCTTCACACCCCGTCACAACCCCTTGGTCATCTGCACCAGCCGTGCGCCTCGTGCACGTTTACCTGTTGCACAAGCAGCTGCCCAGCTTGTTTATTCATTTGCAAGGTCTTTTGTACATAATGCCTTTGTTTGTCCTGCAAATTCCCCTTCTTTATTAGTTTGAGCAACAAGCACTTGGTCCATCCCCTTATTAATAGAAAGAATATCTACCAACAAACATGCAACAAGTGACAGAGACATTCATATCACCCATCAAACCAAACCAAACCCACGAGATTCTGACATGTAGCTTTTGCCCTACAAATCAGAAATTTTCTGAGGTAGTTGTTGCACTGCTTGATGCTGAGAGATTGGCTGCAGTATCCACAGTCCAGTTCGCTCCATAGGCTTTGGTTGGGAGGACACCCAGAAGCTTGGTATGGATCTGAAGAAGCAGCAGTAGGTGCTGATGGTACTGCTAAGTAGGCCTTTATGACTGGATGGAACCCATCACAGTCCAGCACCTGTGAAAACACAAGCATAACCTCTTCCTTCCTTCCTTCCTTCCTTCCTTCCTTCCTTCCTTCCTTCCTTCCTTCCTTCCTTCCTTCCTTCCTGCCTTCCTGCCTTCCTGCCTTCCTGCCTTCCTGCCTTCCTGCCTTCCTGCCTTCCTCTCATCCTCCCCTCCCCTCCCCTCCCCTCCCCTCCCCTCCCCTCCCCTCCCCTTCCCCTCCCCTCCCCTCCCCTCCCCTCCCCTCCCCTCCCCTTCCCCTCCCCTCCCCTCCCCTTCCCTCCCCTCCCCTCCCCTCCCCTCCCCTTCCCTTCCCTTCCCTTCCCTTCCCTTCCCTTCCCTTCCCTTCCCTTCCCTTCCCTTCCCTTCCCTTCCCTTCCCTTCCCTTCCCTTCCCTTCCCTTCCCTTCCCTTCCCTTCCCTTCCCTTCCCTTCCCTTCCTTCCCTTCCCTTCCCTTCCCTTCCCTTCCCTTCCCTTCCCTTCCCTTCCCTTCCCTTCCCTTCCCTTCCCTTCCCTTCCCTTCCCTTCCCTTCCCTTCCCTTCCCTTCCCTTCCCTCCCCTCCCCTCCCCTCCCCTCCCCTCCCCTCCCCTCCCCTCCCCTCCCCTCCCCTCCCCTCCCCTCCCCTCCCCTCCCCTCCCCTCCCCTCCCTTCCCTTCCTTCTCTCTCTCTTTCTTTCTTTCCTTCTCTCTTTCTCCCTTTCTCCCTTTCTCCCTTTCTTTCTTGCTTTCTTGCTTGCTTTCAGAGGGAAGTGTATGTATTTATTTATTTACGTTAAATCACTGAAATTACTTATCATATATATCATATTTATTGCAGATCATATGTCAAACATCCTGTGAACTGGGGGGTTGCAAGTCTGGTTCCTTCCTCGGCCTCACCAGTCTGGTGTCTAAAGGGCAAATGGATCTCCGGGGCCCCAAAAGGTCTTTAGCCACAGGGTCGGAGCGCGTAGCTGCACCCAACAGCCTCGCTCCCGCTTTGTCCCACGTTTCTGTGTCACTGATCACAGCCCCATCTACTCCTTCTACATTACGAGAGACCCGCACCAAAAGTAGCCTTGAACTGAAGCTTTCCACTTTAGCGTGGTGCTCCTGCAAAATCGTTTCCATTGATGTGGAACATCCTTCTTTGGAGTTGTTTCAGAACGGCGTTTGCTTAATTATGAACTAGGAAAGGGGTGTAGAGCGAACAAAGGCAGCGACAGGCACTGCAGCGAGGGATGTTGAGGGGGGCTTCGAGTCCGGGCCCACCCTGCCTGCCTGGGCCGGCTTCCATCGGCTGCTGTGGAATCCCCCGAGGACCCTGATGCTCCCGGTCTGGTGAAGTCCTGTGCTGCCTGTGGGATGCGGAATATCAAAGAAGAAAGCACCAGTAGCTTGTCAGTCTGTGATTTATGTTGGCTGTACCATCCCCGGGGATACCGAAGCCTGGGGATGACCTCAGCTGCACATCAATGCAGATATTAAACACGATGGGCCCCAATCCCGACCCTTGGGAAAGTGAGAGGCGCTCAACTCCAATGGTTTCTGATCAGGAAATGATCTCAGTGAAGCAGCAAAGTTTTTATTCATTACTGCAACAGTGGGTGGGCAACCCCTTATGGCAAGGGAGACATTGGGCGCACGGTCAGTTGAACACTTCTCATTATATATATATACATATATATATGGACACTATATTATACCTCTTTCTCCCATCACAGGTTTTTACTGTTTCCTACTGTCCAAGTACTCCAGGCGTTCAATCCATGCAACAGTTAATAACTCGTCTTTAGCTGCTTTCTAAGAAGGTTACAAGTTCAGTAAAGGCCTATGCCCTGGTATTAGAAGTTTCTACTGCTGTCACAGTTATCTCTAGATCTGTCTGTGTCCGTGGCAGGGGAACAGCAGGCCCACAGCCCGAAAAAAAAAATAAAAAGAGGGTGGGGGGCTGTGTCAAAGGTTTACAGGCCCATTCGGACCGGTTCTGTGATTGATGGGGCAGGGGACCCACAGACCCACGCCCAGGGAAAGGGGGAATGGGATACAGGGGGAAGGGTAGGGAGATGGGCCTAAAAGCAAAACAGTGGCAACGAGCTGAGGGAGAACACTGATTTACTAACTGTGATGTTGGAATGAAAGATAACACAATACAATACATACAATTGGAGTTGAGACTAATGAATCAAATAAAATGAGAGCGTCCAAAACCAAAGGCCTTACTCTAAAGCTGAAGGCAAGACAGCTGGGGAGCACGCACTGCTGAGACGAGCTGCAGAAAAAGAGCAGTCTTGTGACTTGCAAGCAGTTTTATCTTTCCTGCTGAATGGAAAACGGAAACACAAGGCCCTCTAGGGTACGCAGTTCTTCTCTTGTGAGAACCAGGCACTGGCAATGCAGCAGCCCGTGGTACCGGAGCTCTGACTCTAGCTCCCGGTGCTTCAAGTGCTGTTATGGTGCGCAATACTGATAACAAAGATCATACAACCATAACAGTGGCAAAAACACAATCTAACTCTCACAGGAACACAACTCGTGACAGGTCGCCAGCCGCATTTAACTCCATTCACCGCCGCTCTGCACCCAGCCCTTCAGCCACTGCTTTACCCATCCCAGCCACGGGATGCCAGTTTCTCCAGAAGAATCAGCAGGAGACAGTGCCAAAGACTTTGCTGAAGTTAGACTACGTCAACAGCCTTTGCCTCATCTACCAGGCAGATCACCTGATCATAGAAAGAGATCAGGTTGATTGAGCAGGACCTGCCTTTCACAAACCCACACAGGCCTTATTCTGCTTCCATCCCAGACCTCCAAGTCAGGGGGTGGAGTACCTGAGGATAATTGGTCTGACTTCTAAAGACAGGTGTAAAGAAGACACTGAGAACCTCAACCTTTCCCTTATCCACAGTAGTCATGTTCCCCACTCCATCCGTAAAGGATGAAATCCTCCTTAGCCCTCCTCTTATTGTTAACATATTTGTAAAAAGGTTTTTTGTTCTCTTTTCCTACAGTGGCCACCTTGAGTTCATGTTGGGCTTTCGTCTTTCTAAGTTTCTCCCCGCATGATC